GTCAGGTACGACGCGGTGTACTCGGACACAGATCCAAGCTGCTTCCACATGCATAGAGTTTCGCGCGCCTTGTCTGAGTCAGGAGCATGCCCAAACCATTTGCGACGCTCTGTGCACCACGTTGCCCACGTGCGAATGTGGGTCGCTACGCACAACAGATCTGCCTCGTCTTCGTCGCCGAATTCTTCGGACCACTCGTGCTGTCCTTCTGTGCGAGTTGCCGCTGAGTCGACGATGACCTTCCACCACTGTAGGGCAGCCCCTTGCAACAGTGTTAATGCGTGACTGGTCCGCTTCTGATCGTCTCTGATGTCCGCCGCGTTAAAATATATATTCATGGCGAATATCTACGGCCGCACTGTCACGCCTTTATTAGCTGGGTCGAAAGGAACGAGTTGCTAATACCTTACGCCGCCACTTATCGAGCGCGGGGCTGTTGCCGCTAGTCGTGCAGCCTGAAAGGGCAAGAAGTGGAGCTGATTCCAGAGCAAGAAGTGCACATGTCATGCAGCCTGAAAGGGCATGTTTATTATTCAAAACCAACAACTACATTCACCAAGTAGTATTCGGACAGTTTTGGCCAGATTTAAAGAAAGCATTTAACAATCCAAAATCAGTACCTAGTCCACCTCCCCTTAGCCCTAACCACTGCCTTCACCCTCCTCGGCATACTGTTAATGAGCCCCCTGCACACATCCGCCCCAATCCCATCCCATGTCTCTTGCACCCGCTCCCAAGTCTGGAGCATCCCTGTGGGGGGAAGCTCATACTTGGCAAGCTCTCTTTTGAGATGTGCCCACAAGTGCTCTATGGGATTGAGATCAGGGGAGGAGGAAGGCCACTTAAGGACTGAGTATTGCTACTCAGACAGCCAAGATTGCACAAGGCGGCTCTTGTGCTTGGGGTCGTTGTCATGCTGGAAGATGACATCCGAGGGGGCTAGATGATAGTAATCGATGGTTTGTGCAAGCTCATCATGCAATATGCTTCTGTACAGCTCCCCATCCATGCGGCCGTCAATCTTACACATATATCCCGGGCCATCATATGTCATGCAACCCCATACCATTAGTGACCCGCCCCCATGCTTGACGATTTGCTGCACTTGGTGACCTTGCAGGGCCGCCCCGTCGCGTATCCACGCGTACTTGCGGCCATCACTGGAAAGGCGATTGATCTTGGTCTCGTCGGACCAGATCACCCGCTTCCAATCTTCCGTAGTCCAATCAAGGTGCGCCTTGGCGAAATCGAGGCGGTCTCTGATGTTTCGGACAGAAAGACGCGGCTTCTTCGGTTTCTGCACGGCTACTAAACCATACTACTTCAGGGCGTTGCGCACGATTCTAGGGCAGATCTTGATGCCGCGCTCTGATTCTAGTAGTTTTGCGGCTTCTATGCTAGTCTTTGCATGGCCGGAAGTGACTGCTCGAACCAGTGAGCACCTATCACGTACCGAGAGCATGCACGGTCTGCCGTTCCTAGGAACAATCGGCCTGACCGCTAGGCTGCTCGTGCGCTGGGCGGCTTCGTGAGCGTATTTCTGGACCGTGCTCTTCCCTATTCCTAATGCCCTTGCGATTTGTCGGAAACTTCGACCCTGTCAAAGCAGGGTCGCGATCCTATCTTTCTGGCTCGAAAGAAGCGGTCGCATCATCGCTAGGAGCTTGGTGTAGATGCCGCTGTACTATCGAGAGGAAAAAAAAAAGGTTAGGTTGCGAGATCGCGAAATGCAGACAGGAAAGAGATCTGGACTCAAAGTTGGCCTAAAGTGTCCGCATCGAGTGACAGCAACATATTACTGTACGCTATACAAGAAATTCGATTTAAAATTCAACACCCAACTGCATAAACCAACTAAGGTCAAGAGGCACACTATGCAATCTGTTGTTGTCGAGTTTTGACAACATATCACGCCTAAATCTCAATGTCTATCTACTGTAATGGATTTTTAAGCCCATTTATTTCCATCACTGTATGTGATATAATTGTAGGCTTGGTAGGCATTACTGAAACCTACTATAGAGGGTACAAACCCCCCTCATTGTATCCCTCTCTCTCTATTCTCGACCTCTTTTCTCTCGTTAACTTCCTTCTACAGGTCTCGTTAACTTCCTTCTACAGGTCATATTCCCTGAGAGCCCGGGGGGCGACGCGAGAGATTTTGCTTTTGACGAATTCTACCCGTACGACAGGGGCAACGCGGACTATGGGGTTTTCCCAGGAAATGGGGCGTTGTTTTTTGTGTACTGTGCATGGGCGGCTTGACTGGCGTATGCAGCGACCGAGTAAACGTCGCCACGTCGCAAGCCTATCCACCAGTGTATCAACTCCGCGTTTCAAGCAGGTCTCTCGATAACCTAGGGGTCACCCTGCATAATCCGAGTTTGCCCGGGGTCCAACTCTTCCAGGCTGGGTAGCTCTAAAACTTTTGACTGTTTTTGCAGGCATGGTACCCTTAGCCTTCCTCCTTTACCCTGTGGTCTGGACTCACAAAACTCGGAGGTTGGATAGATCACGTAGGGACTCCGGTATCTGCCCTGTGAACTGATTGTATTGGAGGAGGCTGGCATATGGCAGCATAAAGGGATGGGAGGGGGGAAAAGAGTTGGTGGGGGGGATGAGGGAGGTGGAGGGGAGGGGGTTGAGGGAGAGGCACAGGGGATTAACAAGGGTTCCTTGACGGAGATGTAGGGGCCAGGGGTTGAACGGATGGAGGACACAAATGGGACGGGCACAAACCAGAGTGGTCATGATGGTAGGAGTGAAAGAAGTCAAGGGACATGGAACTATGCGGAGAGAAACCTGAAAGAAGTGAGGCGGAGGCAGAGGGGATTACAGGGTCTCGATTCCAGTGATGTTGCCGAGAGAGGCAGGGATGGATCCAGACAAACTGTTGTGGTCCAACGTGCTGTGGTCACGGGAAATGGATATGGATATGGGAGCCGGAACGAATGTGGTAGACGGATGAAACGTGGAGCAGGATGCTGCCAGGTGATAGGTCTTACATGCGCCTCATTTACGGGAGTTGGTGGGTGATAACAAATGGGCAATACTAGCTCTAAAACTTTTGACTGTTTTTGCAGGCATGAGTTTCGCCCTGCTCGGAATGTGCCACTCCTGATAATGACAGGGAAGCCATTTTTTCTAGGGGTGCGAACTTTTTCAGTAAAATTTTCAGGGTGAGTCCATCCCCTACTAAAAAATCGGGCGTCGTAATTTCACCATGTTTTCCTTGACAAAGCAGTGTACTTACTCTGACTTCCAGAGGCCTGGTTTCAAAAGAATGTCAGATTCCTTGACGCGCTTCTTGGCGCGTTCCTATTGGCTGTGGATAGACGGATTTTCCATGGGCGACGCCGACGGATTGCGTTGGCTTTGCACTCGTAATTCTACTGGACCGACAGCGAGCTGTTGGATTTCTTTTTCGACATTGGTTGGCGAGTCTGACACATCTGGATTTTTAGAGGCTCGCCGACCACTAGGCGTGGTCGCTCTAAAAACACAGGAGAAAAATGATTGGACGGTCTTGGATCATCCGACTTGACTGTCTTATTTACTATTCAGTTGAGACGGGTACACTTTGCTTACAAGGAGAGGCCCTTAAAGCCCCTGGCTATAATAGCAGACCTGGAAACCACTTAAATTTGATGCTTTGAAATCCGTCTAAGTATAGAATGGAAGGCAGCTTTGAGTTCCAAGCCTGAACAAGAAAAGTGTGTAGAAACAAATTCTGGTCGAGCTTGCTGATTGGAGGAATGGCGAAAGAACTCGTTTTGCTGTTTGTTGCGACACGATCATTTGGATGCGAATTGCGCAAAAACACTGTGTGCATCGCACGGAGTTTCTACGACGGGTTTGGGCGAGCAGCTTGCGACGAGGAAATACAGGCGCATTATGAGTGGGGAATTCAAGTGATTTCCAGGTTTGCAATTCCGGAATCAGCTACTGTTCTCCAAAAAATCACTGTTCTTATCGCATTTTCATTGTTCACGAAACCACGAATTCGGTCGCACGACGCGTATTGCACTGTTCACCGAGTGGTTTCGTGCAAAAACTGTCGCCAAACCGCCACGGTCAGATTCCGCTTTGCAAAACGAAATGTTTATATTCTGTTTCGTTTACTCTAAAGATCAAGTCATGTGCCAAGTTCAAGAGCAAATTAAACAGCCCTCTTGATTGCTATTATAGCCACGGGCTTTAAGGATATAATGCCTACGGGATAGAAGATGGGCGTAAAGGAGGTCGCCTACAGGGCATATGACCTGTACCTAAAACCTCACGCCATCCATGGCCGCCTACCCACCCTAGCTACCTAGCCTTTGTGACAAACCCATCGCAACCGTTATTTCAAAACTTCAACGGTTGCGATGGGTTTCCAACATTCTCGGATGACACCTACTAGAAACAGACCTGATGTTGAAACAGCCTGCGTTTTGGGACTCGGCAAACACACAGAACCTCTGTGATTTCGACGCTCGAGATTTGTCGATCTCGGATATACAGCTCGGTACTGATTGAAGGTCCCTCGATTTCAAAACTTTCAGCTGTTTGGCTTTGGGCCGTCGGATCGGTCTTACGTTAATCGGATGGCCCATAATTGAAGGGATTTTACCAAACCTGTTTTAGCAGACAGAACGCGATTGATTCATCGAGCAAAACACATGCTTCTGATTGGCTGCCAGCAACCACCTCTCTAGTTACGACATCGAAAATTTATGGGTTTGCGATACTTTCTGACTTCGCTAAAACCACTGCTCACGTTCATACGCACTGCGTATGAACAATTTGGGCTGCGGGCTTTGAGATGGTAGCGAAGGTCTTAGCCAACCGGATGAACATTTATGAAACAGTTGATATCCATAGAACAGTTGGGTTATTACCGGGGAAGCGGCTTTCAGATTTCCCGTTTCAGTTACTGTATGTCCTTTCGTGAAAGGAGGGATACTTTTGCGCATGTTCGATCAGTTGGTGGTGATATTTCAGGTTACTCTCGTCATGACTCACAACCCTAGAAACCCTAGGTTTCGCGAAGTCAAACAAAGTCAGTCCACTTGATCGCGTGTAGCTAAGAGTGGCGCACCGTCAGAAAGCCAGGAAGCAGCATAAAGTTCCACCTAATCGCCCGTGCTAGTCGAAACTAGCACATGGACGTAGCAGCCGTGGAGTATCCGTGTAGCAGCGAGTATCCGTGGAGTAGCGGCCTTGAAAATATCCGTATAGCCTCGGCGTATCCGTGGACTGGTAGCGGCCGTGGAGTAGCAGCCGTGAGTAGAGGTATCTTCAAGGCAGAAGAGCTCGCGCGCGCGTGTGTGTATTCGACGCCTTATTTTCCTGTCTAGAAGCAATGCGCACAGCCTACAGTCCGCGTGGCGCGTGGTTTGCAAGGATCTGTCCCCCTCTCCTCCCACCATGCAGGAAACTCCCCCGCGCTCACCATGTGGCCCCAACGTGCGCAAGTTGCAATTCCGAGACATCCTCGTCGCCTCGTCGTGCTGCTGGCGCTGCTGTGCGCCGCCTGTGGAGAGGCAGCGTCCGCGCAGCAGCTTTTCGCCTCCCAAAGTGCGCCGCTGCTGGGTATCCCAACCTGTGACTCGTGCTTCCACGCCGCTAGTCCTTCTCTCTTCCTCTCCCTATCCATCACAAGAGCCGGCTGGAATACCAGAAACGAGGAGCTTAGAACGAAACTAGAATCGAGGAATAAGAGCAGAATGCATCGAGGGAATGGTCTCTCTTCCTCTCACCCTCTCTCCCTCTCGCCGCCCCTCCTCTCCCTCGGACGGTTTCGTGTACGGGGCGAGCAAGGTAGCCTAGGCGCAAGGTTAGGCGAGCTCCGAATTGGGGTAGGGACGGGCTGGGCCTGGCCGGCCTGCTCGGCTTGGGCCATGGCCTGTGGTTACGTGGCGGGCCGGGGTAGGCCCGAAACCCTAGAGTTTCCCACGGGCCCGAAGTCGACCTCGTTTTTGGTCCGCACAGGCCATGGGCTGGCAGGCCCGGCCCGTCGGGATGGGCCGGGGTGTAGTGGGTCCCTCCTGACCCCGGCCCGTTTGCTGAACCTACCTCAGGTGCAAGGCATGCTTCTGCTCCTCGCCACCCCTTCAGCTGCAGATCCAGATGGCCTTTTCACTTCACTTTCTATCTTTCTCAGGGTTCATTGCGCAGGATGTACTCATTTCGAACCGTTCTGGTTATCTTTGTGCACAGGAAGCAAGTACTTATTGTCTTGGTCCACGCTTCTCCATTTTCCCGCCATGCTGCTTTGTTCTCAGAGGCTGCACTGAAGAGTATAGCGGAGGAGTGGGGTTCACGTGCTAACACAGTCTCGTGGATACAGCGCAGTGACTGTGGCGACATGGTGGGCATCATGTGCGAGGATGGCTATGTCACATCCATGTAAGCAACTCCTTCTGCCTGCTCAGCTCAGCTCCCTCATGCGCGGCATTGTTCTTGCCAATGCGTTCTTGTGTCAGAAAGCACGCTTCGAGTATGTGTTGAGAGTGTTCAATCGAAAGGAGAGAATGCGTTTTACGAGGCAGGTCATATGGGCAGCAGCACAGATGGGATGGGATTCTGCCAAACGGTTGATGTCAGTTTGCTAGGTTGCCTTTGGTCACGTGTTGCCACATGCCTGCGTCCTAATGTTTGGGTGACGTTTCTCTCGTATTGGTGTTGTCAAATCTAAGCTCCTTGCTTCGGCGTTCACAGCATCCTTCGATCTGCGCTTCCCTCCTCTCTTCCCCAATCTGCCTCCTTGTTCGCCCTGTCTTGCTGTATCACCAGGGTTGTCAGTCAACAACAGCTTTGGAAGCCGATTCCCAATGCCATTAGTGGCTTGCAGCGCCTTAAAGCACTGTGCGTCTATTTACTTACTCCCTGTACTTGTTTCATCAGCCATTTCTCTCGTCCTTTCTTCCACATACTGTCCACGCCACATCACTGCATGGCCTGGCAGCCGTTTTTTTTTTGTCACTGCAAGTGCTTGAGATCGTACTTTCTTGCCTCTTTGGCCTTGTTGACACGTGAGCTTGCTCTGCTCCGTCCATAACATGTCTATCCACTTCCATGCACCCACAACTAGCCCCTTTCCTGCCGATTGTGCCTGTGCCTGCTCCTATTGCAGCACTCTGATAGATTGCAGCTTGATAGGCTCGCTGCCATCCGCGCTCTTCACTTTGGACTACCTTACCGACCTGTGAGGCCAACCTTAGCGAGTGTGAGGAGCTGGGAACCGTTCTAGTGACAGGTGCCACTGGGCTGGGCTGGGATGGGAGTACTGCTGCTGATGGCCCGAAGGCTGCTCTTTCGAGTTTGGTTAGCGTCGTCATAGCATCTCTAGGCTTGCAGGCTTTCCTGCCTGGTCAAGCATACTGTGCGGTCTTCTTAACCACGATGTGATACTTTCTGCAAGTCGAAAGTGTACTTTTCTCTGCACCTATGTTTTTAAACGTTCAGCTCATGTGTTACGTGTTAATATAGCACAAGCTGATGGAATGTACGTTTACTGTCTGTATCGTGGGTTGTTGCTTTCATGTATTCATTCTCCAGGCTCCTGGCCAAGAATTCCCTCTCCGGCTCTATTCCTGCTGACATCAGCAAGCTGACTAACCTGGAATCCATGTGAGGCGCAAACAGAGTGGTGCATGCACCATGGTGATTGTGGCGTGCGCTTGGGCTCACATGCACTTCTTAGCTCACATGGGCTGTGTGGAAAGACGACGCAAAGGCATGCATGGTCTCCTGCGCATTGGCCAGGCATGGTGGTATGCCGATTTCTTGAGGGCCATCCATGAAGGCACTGACTGATTGTCTTCATTCTTTGCACCTTCTTTTCTTCTTTGTCGTGCGGAAATCGCTGCGGTTCTGGTCTGCAGGGGAATCGAGGAGAATAGCTTGTCGGGGTCATTGCCCAAGGGGATCTCATATTTGAAGAAGCTCAATGACATGTGAGCTGCGGCTGCTGCTGCTGCTGCTGCTGCTGCTGCTGCTGCTGCTGCTGCTGCTGCTGCTGCTGCTGCTGCTGCTGCTGCTGCTGCGGCTGCTGCGGCTGCTGCTAGTGCAGTGCATCTCCTTGTTCCCGCCCCATTCTGACTCGCACCAAAGCAGTGGTGGTGCGTGTCATGTTTCAACCTAGGCAGGCATGAGCAAGAGCTGAGCCGGGTTGGGCTAGGGCCGAGCTGGGTCCATATATCGATCGAGCTGGGGGCGGCTCTACCCAAGCCGAGTTTTTTTACTGCCTGGCTCGGGGTTCCTGTTGAGGACTGAGCTGGGTTCAGGCTTGGTCCAAGATGGGGCCGGCTCAGCACACGCCGCCCACCGCTCCACGCAGACTCACGTTTCCGCTGCCAGATGCGTGCAAATCCGGCGTTTCATCCGCCGATCCGCGCGGATCTGCATTTCGCCCGCCAGATCTGTGCATTGGCTTGTCATCGAGCCGAAACACATGCATCAGCGGCTCGCCGAGCCGAGTCGCGGCTTGGCGTTTTACTCATGTCTACTTAACCTTCCGCCTACTATGTTCTTAGTTTAACGTTACCAATTCAATGCCGCCTCATGTGTCTGATTGCCCTGTGCCTGCCGCCATCCAGGAGACTAAGCAGCAACTCTCTTTCTGGTTCTCTTCCAAGCTTCCTTGGCTCACTTACCAGCCTTGCCATCTTGTAAGCACTTTTTCCTCGCTCTCACACCCAAGGTGCAAAAATACGGTAATCGCATTATACAGGCTGTATAATACGATCGTATTTTTTGGTAATTTATGAAAAAAAACGCCGCCTTTTTATTTGAACATGTTGGTTTTTTTTTTTTTTTTTTTTTGCAGATCCATGCGCTTAACATATCCGCGCATTTCGGTAGGCGAAATGCCAGATCTGCGCATCTCAGCAGGCAAAATGCGCGGTTCTGACATTTCGCCCCCCGAAACGCAAGATCCTTGCAATTTGGCAGGCGAAGTGCGAGATCTGTGCAACTCTGTGGGCGAAATGCCTGATCCGCGCATTTCGATGGTCAAAATGCCAGATCCGGCCATGTATTCCAGCTGGTTAAAAAAAAAAAAACGGCTGAAAAAACGGCCGATTTTACCACCCTCAATATGGCACTACTGACCGTTTTTTATCGTATTATACAGCCGGAAAATTCTGTACCGTACAAAACAGTGTTTTTTTTTTCTTTCTTTTAGGCCTTTTTTTGCACCTTGCTCACACCCACCCTCTCAACACTTGCCCTCACTCTCACCCAGTTCCTCGCTTTCGTATGGTAATTTATATCAGGCAATTATACATTGAATAGGAAGGCACACATCGAAGCAAGCAAACAATAGCGTCCCTAGGGGGAGTGCCTATGGGGGGCTCTAGGAGGATGAGGAACAAAATAGGGCATGAAGGGGCTCGACAGTGTAATCGCCTGCCGCACGGAGTTGGTCTTTCCATGGGGGTCAGGTTGGGTAATAATACCCGATTTTAGAGATACCCGACCTGCCTCTAGGGCAGGGTTAAAAAAAACGGTTTTTTTTTTCATTTCATTTTCAGGCCGTTTGCTACGGTACCGTTATTTTCGGCCGTTTTATTCGGCATAAAACGGTTGAAGATATCTGGTTTTTTTTGGTAAAAAAAATCGGCCGATAGTTTCAAAAATTAGTAAAAAATACTGGCGAAATGCGCGGATCTAGCATTTTTCCTGCCAAAATGTGTTGGACCCCGCGTTTTGGTGGACGAAATGCACAGATCTGACATTTCGCCCACTAAAATGCGCAGATCTGGCATCTCCCCGCCAAAATGCGCATGTCTCGCATTTCGATGGACGGAATGCGCGGATCTGGGCGGACGTTTAGTTTAGTCGTTCTACGAAATGTTTTTTTTTTTTGCTTTCATCTTTTTTTTTTTTTCGGAGTGTCCTATTAAAAATTCGGCGTTTTTTCCCCCAAAATCACCGAAATAAACGATCGAATAAAACAGCCTGCCGAATTTTTCCACCTTGCTCTAGGGTAACAGACTACCCAGCTTCAAAACCCTGAGTCGGGTTGTAGACCAGGAGAGAACCACCCGACTGTTACTCGACATGACATACCCGTCGACCCCGGGTAGTGAAAAACCGGGCCGGGTCGGGTTATTACCGGTTTTCGCTCAAGCCTAGTCCAGGCCCGGAGTGGCATGATGCTCCACTTCTGGTGGAGTGGAGTGTGTCAAACACTTATGGAGAGCGCACAGGCGCTCGTGGAGGGCGTATATCGCAGGCCTCTTGTGCAGTGAGAAGAAAGGAGCAAGAGCAAGGGTCTTTGGTGTTTCCTTCAGTTCCTGCACCACGAAGTCCCATGAGGCTACAGTGTAGTGTAGTCGTATGGGCAACGTCCGCTGCTGCTTATGCTTCCAATGCTGCAGTAAAATTAGGCAGAAACTACTGCCAGATACGGACTCGGGCTGGCACAGCCCCTTGACCCCCGGCTTGGCCTGTGGCCGGCGCGCACCGACGGCGAGGTTGACTTTGGGCCCGTAGGAATCCCTACGACGGGCTCAGGCCGTCCCGAGCCCGAGGGTGGGTCTATCCTGTCCCACTGCGAACTACGGGCCATGGGCCCCCCTTAACAGCCGGCCTGGCCAGAGGTGTGCATAACAGGCAGGGCCGGCTGGAGGCCCAACATTTGAACATGCCTAGGCGTGCCCCGCCAGCTCAGCGGCTGTCGCTGCTGTGCGCGTTGCTGCTGGTTGGAGCAGCAATGCTTCTCATCCGCATAACCCATGGGGCGTCTGCTAATGTGCTAGTGGGCCGTTTGCAAACCATTGTTCTTGCTTGCTTCTTCCCCATTTCCATGTACCTCCCATTTCTGTTTCTCTCAAGGTGCCTGAACAACAACGGGTTTACTGGTTCCGTCCCTGACTCTCTCTCCCAGCTGCAACGATTGACGCGATTGTGGGAACTCCTAATTAACCTCCTTCACATTCCATCTGTCATCTCCCGTGCTATCCAACCATCTCGAACACGATTTTTGTGGCATGCTGCCTGAGCTGGATCTGGAAGTTGCATCTGAGATTTACGTTGTCTTAATTTAAGGGTATCCAACGATAAGAAAAGGTCCCGAGATCATCGTGCAATTCTATTGCAACCCTCTCTCTTCTCTTTCTCGTCCTCATAACGTTTTTAGGGCTCATTTTGTTAATTTACTTCTTTAGATAACACGTTCGCTGACCATCTCTCGACTTATCCGTTTTGATTCGATTTATGATTTTCATTTCGAGTGAAGAAAAAACAGTTGGAATGCCCACCCAAAATAACACGTTAAATAACGTTCATAAACAAAAACGCTGATTTACACATTTTTACGTTAATGCCAGCCCTAAAAACGTTATGGACAAACTTATGTTTTGTGTCGTGAGTTTCTGATACTTTCCATATGTGTGCCGCACCACTTAATAGTGCCTCATTTCAGCTAGAAGACATGTGTGGACAGTCGTTTGTGCACTGCATGTCCATGGGTGCATACACTATGGGGCATTGACGTGACCGTTGTTGTCTATCACCATTTCAGGCACCTGGATTACAACCGCCTTGAAGGAAGCATCCCATCACACATAGGAAACCTGACTGAACTGCGATACCTGTGAGTGAGCTCCACGTAGATTAGTCTCTTCAGTTCTCTGCTACTTTAACGCTCTAGGGCAGTTGCACTCCTCGTCTCGTACCAACAGCAGGAACATACTAAGTGCTCGTGGGATACGAGGAGAGCAATCTGACAGTGCTAGTTCCACCTGGCCCTCGCTGGCAGGGTGCTGGGCGTGAATGACTTCACTGGCACCATCCCATCATCGCTGGCCAACCTCAAGAAGCTCGAAGGCCTGTGAGTGAGCCACCTTCCCTGCCCTTGCTCGCCCTTGGCCTCCACTCCCTGTCTTGCTCGCCGTTCGCCTCACTTCCCTCTCGGCCCTTGTTCGCCCTTGGCCTCCCATTTCTTGCCTTGTCCGCTTGCACATGGCTCCTGCTGGCAGGCTGCTGGACATGGAAGACTTCTCATGGCATTCTTTACGCAATGACCACACTGCCACTTGCAGGGCCTTGGAGTTTCATCAGACGTGTCTTTGAATGCATGAACGCTTCTCATGCTCGATCGGTCAAATTCTTTACGATTCCACGCTCCTCAACTCGTTGCACCTGCCTGCAGTATGATCCACGACCTGCGCGTCCATGGCCTGGTGCCTCCCGCTCTCACCTCGCTGCAGAAGCTTTGGTACTTGTGAGTCATGCTAGACATGGTTAAAATGCGATGCGATGTAATATCGCAACGCATTTCTCCAAATCGCATTTTCAATTGCGCGATAAAATATCGCATCGCTGCGATTTTTTTTTTCCAGGAAAATGATATCGCACATCACTTTTTAGGTGCGATTTTAAATCATATCGCAGAAATATTGCGATATATCGCGCTATGTGATCTAATATCGCATCGCATTTAAAAGCATGGTTTAATATCGGTTTCCAGGCCTGAGATAAGGGTATGCGATATTAAAATATCGCATGGATATCGCGTAAATATAGCCCAAATATCGCACGCAATATTTGGTATCCAATGCGATATTGAAATTTCGCATATCGCATTTATATCGTTGTGGGATAACAGCGATTTAAATGCGATGAAAAATATCGCGCGATATAAATCACATCGCATTGCGCGATATAGACATGGGCAGCATGCCGAGCCTGGCTCGACTCGGCTCGACTCGACTCGCCTTTTTGGCGAGTCGAGCCGGGATTTTTTTTTGGCCGGCTCGACTCGAGCCGGTCGAGCCGCGCGGCTCGGCTCGAGCCGGTCGAGCCGCGCGGCTCGGCTCGACTCGTCGCAAATTTCATGGCGAGCCAAAGTCGAGCCGGCTCGACTTTGGCTCAACTCCTGAAGCGCACGGCTTGCCAGCGGGGGGTCAAAATTCGACCGCCCTGGAAGACGAAAATCCCTTTGGCGAGTCAAGCCAACCATTTTGGGGCAGCGGCTCGGGTCGAGTCGAGTCGGCTCGGCTCGACTTTTACCTGGCTCGAAGTCGAGTCGAGCCGAGTTGAGCCAGGCTCGGCATGCTGCCCATGTCTAGCGCGATATTTATTCAGGAACAAAAATATATCGCTATTGCATTTTTGCGATATATGCTATGCGATAACCATGTCTAAGTCATACTCCCACCTAGACATGAGCACGGGGCGAGGCGAGGATTCCTTGACCCGAGGATCTCATCCTCGCGCCCTAGCCGGGGCGGGTCGAGGAATCCTCGCCGAGGATTTTTCATGAAAATCCCCCCTCGACCCCCGGGTTTTAGGGTCGAGGATTGAAATCCTCGCCTCGAGGATTAATTCCTTGACCCGGGGCGAGGATTCCTTGACCTGGGCGGCTGGGGGGTTAGGGGGAGGGGGGTAATGGGAACATCCTCGCCCATTTGCCTCGAGGAAAAATCGAGGCCTCGAATCCTCGCCGAGGCGGGGCGAGGAATCCTCGCGAGGATTTTTCCCAGAAAACCTGCCTCGACCCCCGGAATTTCGAGGCGAGGATTTCCGAGGCGAGGAAATCCTCGCCTCATTGCTCATGTCTACTCCCACCACTCCACCATGTCAGGCTGACTTTGGCTCAGTTGTCTGTTTCATATCTTTAACAATCCAGACAGCCTTGTTGAAGAGAATCCATCCTTCTATTGCAGATCAACAGCGGCACTCTATTGCCATGATTGCATGTGTGTGTGGCAGGGAGCTGTCTTCCATGTATCTCTCTGGACCCTTGGCACGCATTGTCACTCCCATGACTAACCTTGTGAAGTTGTAAGTGCAGGTTGAAAGAACTAGCATTTGAGAGAAAGAACTGAACTAGAAAGTGAGCCAAGAGGCTCTATAGTACAACCAAGGAGCAAGGAAAGGTTGGAAGAGAAGCCACTCCTAATGGCTACAGTCGTGACCAACCCCAAAGTGTGGTGGTTGCTGATTGGTTGAGCCTTGGGACCATTTGGTAGGGACATGCCAACCAAAGGACCAAGACCCAATCCAATCTTGACCAACCCAAAAGTGGTTGGTGAACCCAACCAACAACCCCGCAATAACTTAGATATCTACACCTCATATTCTAGTCATGCATGTTGTACATAAGTATATATTACAACACAGGTTAGACATGGGCATGAGCCGAGCCTGGCACAGGCTCACACAGGTTATGGGTTCGCGTGACCATCGTCAGTATGTGGCATTTCACTATGCATTAGGCATGAGTAATGGCCCGGCCTGGAAAAACACGAAACTCGGCACTCCCCCGGCACCCGTTCCGTTTTGGGGGGCCGGCCCAGCCCGGCCAAGCAGATTTGGGTCAGGTCAGGCAGATTTGGGCTGGGCTGGCCCAGGCCGGGACTGTGCTCATGCATACGCTGCATGCCTGTCCACCCCTAGCAGCTTGCAAGTCCTTCAATTCCTTGTTTCTTCCACTCCCAACTTTCTTCTCATGGTCCGTGGTCGCCACAATCGCTATCTGCAGGCTCGTGTTTTCCAACCAATTCACGGGAGATGTGCCCATCCCAGCCTCCAAGTCCTTAGAGATTGTCAACATCCAGAGCAATTATTTTACATCCGCCCCAATCCGCCCCAAGAACTGTTTGGCTGTCAACCTCAACCTCTCTGACAACTGCCTGCCCACCACCCTGTGCGGGGTGAATCAACTGCAGAGGAGCAACGAGAGCTGTGCAGCATTCTGTGGGGTGGGGCAGGGCGGGGCGCTGTGCAGTGGTCATGGGTACTGCTTCATGAACGACAGCAGCAGCACGGGCGAGTGTGTGTGCGAGGCACCCTACTCCACTCGCAATGGACCCCACACATGCACGTACACAAGTAAGCAGAGTACAATTGCACTTGGATCAGTTGCTCAGCCGTTGACATGCGTATTTGCTCCATGCCGTCACTCATCGTTCTCTTTCGCTAATCCATGTATCTCCATTGTCTCTCCCCCCCCCTCCCCTCCCACAGTCGACCCCGTGACTGCCTCCTCTGCCACCTCGCCCATGGCTGTGAGTGGCTCTGCGCTGCGCTCTGCTGGCGGCGCCCTGCTGCTGACCCCCAGGGCCAATGGCACCTGGGGCACGGCCTTCACAGCCGTGCCTCTGCCCCTCTTCTCCTACTTCAACACCAAGGCCACATGCGGTTACCAGTTCGCCTTCAACGCATCCTTTGCCTTCTCCCTCCACCCGGACTCAGAGGCCGGCGGGGATGGGCTCGTGTTTGTCGTCGCTGCCGCGCTGCCAGACAGGCTGGGAGGGGTGGGGCGGCGGAGTGTGGGAGTGGAGTTTGACTCGGTGCTGAGTGTGAAGCACAGCGACCCCAACGACAACCACGTGGGCGTCAATGTGGGCGGCTCACCTGTGTCCCTCGCCTCTGCCACGGCCCCTCTCATCCTCAACGACGTCCAAACCAAGCACGCCTGGATCCACTACGACCCCACCAGCGGCGGCACTCTCCGAGTCTTCCTCTCCTCCGACCCCGTGCAGCCCCTGACCCCCACCCTCCGTGCTCGAGTGTCCCTCTGCTCCATCCTGCAGCCCAAGGCGTCCTCTGCTGCATTCTATGTCGGCTTCACAGCTTCGTCCACGGCCGGTGCACAAGCACACTCCGTGCTCAACTGGACATTCACTGCAGGTATGTTCTCTTGAGCATATTCTAGGGGACTCTAGACATAAGGGAGGCGCAGTGGTGTCGAAATCATTAAGCGAGACCCGTGCTTCCAAATGTGAAAAAGGTAAGTGGTGGTGGGCATATGTGGCAGTGGCATGCTGCGATGATAGAAGAACAACACTGCATTATGGCGAGAAGGCTGCGTGGTTGGCAGGTTGGTTGTTGTGAGTGGGGACTGCCAATCAGCAATTTTTGCTCCGCTTCCTGCCACCTTCCCTGCCCTACACATTCGGAACGAGTTTGCTGTAGGGTAGACATGATCAAAACGCGATTGCGATTTAAATCGCATCGCATGCAGGTGCGATGTTTAAAAAAGCGATGCGATTTTAAATCGCATCGCGCGATTTATTTGTAAAATAAAATAAAATCGCAGATCGCATTTTACCCGCGATGTATTAAAAAACCGCATGCGATATTTAATTAAATCGCGCAATGCGATTTTAAATCGCATCGCGTTTTAAAACAGAATTAAAAAACACCCCAAAAAAACAGAAAAAAACCATGGTTGCGGGGAAATTGACTCACGGGCAGTCGTAAGCTAGAGTGCAAATAACCAGTGTGGTTTCGTAGTGGGTTTCAGAGTGGGTTTCAGTGCAATATCACGCGCGATTTTGTAATAATCGCATATCGCATTTAAATCGCGTTTTTTAGTGCGATTCAAATGCGATTTAAATTAAATCGCGCGATATTAATTGATCGCATCACGCGCTGATTTAAAAAAAAAAAAAAAAAAAAAACATCGCTATCGCAAAAACGCGATTAAATGCGATGCGATGCGATTTTTTTTGCCCATGTCTACTGTAGGGTGGCCATAGCATATCGGTAGCCAGCTTTGCTGTTCAATACTGCAAGTTAGTTAAGATTACGATTCCAGGCTTAAATAGCAGACGTAGGGGATCATGCAATCTACCCTCATTTGACCTGGCTGGCGGATGCTGCCACAGTAAGGCCACTGCAAGGGATTCCATGCAGATGTTGCGCAATGCGGGTTGAGTGACGTGGCAATGTGAATTGCCCTGCTCATTCCAATTCTTCGAGTTAATTATGAACCTTGGTGTGAGTTCTGTTGTTGGACGTATAACCTTCGAATGGTTTCGAGATGGAAGAACTGTAGCTCGCAGGCATCGAGTGTGAATCCACTGTCCCCCCTCTCTTTGTACTACTCCCTCTTCCATGCCACTTACTGCTTGTCCGTTGGTTGCTGTGTATGCAGATATTCCACTCAACTTACGCTTTGACCCTTCAAGTAAGTATGCTCGTGCAGCAATATCCTTGTTTTCACTGTGAAATCGGATGGGTTGCTTGCTAACACGTGTTTTCTCTTCTCCAACTCACCGCCAGACCTGGCGCTGGGGTTTGTGTTGGACGAGGACTCCTTCTCATCTCAGGGCTTCAACTCCGCCTTCCACTACGCCAGTGCGGGATTCGAGCCAGCGCAAGACAACAGCCCCTCATGGCTGGTCAAGTCCTTCGCCTCCTGGATCTTGCCTCAACCCGTCTGGCCCGTCAAGAACCAGAAAGGCTGCGGTGACTGCTGGGCGTTCGCAGTGGTGGCAGCGGTGGAGGCAGCCTACAGCATCGCGAGCGGCTGGTCGCAGCCCCCCGTGCTGTCGGTGGACCATCTGCGCCTCGCCCTCTCCTCCAACTGCGATGGTGGCTCCCCCACCAAGGCGCTGCAGTTCCTCCTAAACGCCACCGCCCAGGGCAGGGGGCTGCTGGAGCAGGCAGCTGACTCCCAAGGGTTGGCGCTCAAGGGCAGATTGCTGGTATGTGCACTGCTGCTAGCGTGCCTTTTGTGTTTTAGTGTTCTCTTATTAGTGTGCTGTTGGTATGCTTTTGTCCCCGACATTTCTCTGCGGATTCCATGTGTCTTTCCTTCCCGCAGGCCAGCACGAGGTACTATGGCGTCCGGGGCATCGAGCGCACGGCCTTCTACGGGTGGTTTGGGCTCATGCTGGCAGTGCAGCGCCAGCCAGTCATTGTGCACATCGAGGCCTCCGCACCCTCCTTCCAGGACTACGATGGGGTAAGGCACCCTCCTTCCAAGAATAGATGGTGTATGTAAGGCACCCTCCTTCCAAGACATTAATGGGTTGAGGTGCCTTCTTTCCAAGACTATGATGTTCCTATATACTGGCACTAGGGGTTACGTCAGAGATTATGAAAGGGCCACGCCATGTACAGGTTTCGTCCTCATGGGTTGTGGTGTGGGTGCACTGACCCACCAACACAGTTGGTTATCAAACTAGAGCTCTAAAAAGTAATGGGGTAAGACACATTCCTTCGAAGTCGTCGTAGGGTAAGCACCCTCTCTCTAAGACCACAATGCCCCTCCTTCCAAAACTACTAAGGGGTTAAAGGCCATCCTTTCAAGAATATGACTGGGTAAAGCACCCTCCTTGCAAGAAGTCGATTGGGTAAGGTACCCTCCTTTTAAAACTACAACGTGTACGATGGGGTTACAAGAGTTACAAGAGTCTCTTGACATGAAAAGGGACCACCAGGAGCAGGTGCAGAGCCAGGTGAGTCCCTTGAAACCGTTACTCGCTTTGACTACCTTTCACTCGCCTTGACTACGATGTGACTTATGGGGTGACATTGAAATTCTTGGCACTTTGGTTCAACCTATTAGTTTCTTAGGTTCTGTAAATTGTGGGAAGCAGCATCCAGGCATCTACAGGATACCGTGAGTTCAACGAATGAGCATAGGCCTGGTCAGGCCCGATACAGCTCGGCCCGAAGCAAAGTCGGGCCGGGCCAGGCCAGGGTCGGGCCGACTCGGCCGTGTGCCCATGTTTAGGGGTCGGGCCGGCCTTGGCTGGGGGATAGGCCCGCCAAGAGAATCGGGGTGGCGGAGAGTCCGGTGGTGTGGGCTGAGGGCAGCTTGGGCGGGCCGCCCGTTTCTTTTGCCCATGCCGACGGGAAGGTTTGCTAGTCCGGCAACGACTAATGTGGTTCTCTTTGTGTGTAGGCTTGAGCAAATACCCGACCCGACCTGACCCGACTTTGCCTGACCCGAGGTCGGGTTCGGGTCAGGTCGAACTCGGGATTCTCCGACCCAAACCGACGAAAACAGTTTGGGGCAAACTTGACCCGCGAGTACCAAGGGTAAGGGGACCCGCCCCTGTTCTATATAGTGACTAAGCGTTATTTTCCTCCTAATATCGAGATCGTCTACGTCTTCTTCTGTTTCCTAGCTCACGCACTCACCTCATCCTCCCACAACTCGACATGTGGCTGGGTTGTTAGCGAAAATCAGGGATCGGGTGGCGGAAAAAAAACTGGTTTGGTGGTGTGGCAAGAAATTGGTTCGTTGGGGAGTGTTGGCGAAAATTCGAATGGTTTGGGGGTGTTGGCGATTTTCAGTTGGTTTGGGGGTTTGGGGAAAATTCGAATGGGCTGGCGATGTTGGCGAAATTCGCTTGGGTTGGGGGTGTTGGCGTGTTTCTGAGTTGAGTAGGGTGTTAGCTGAGTTGATTCTATCGAAAACAAGATCTGGAACAGCCTAAACCCTAAGCAAGGAAACATGTTGTTGAGAAGATTAGCGGTAGAATTCTTGCAGATCTTCGCGACTCTGACGCGTAGATCGCGTCGGGTCGAGGCGCGACCCGATTTCGGGTCGGGTCGGGATGGGTTGTCCCAACCCTAATTACCCAATGTCGGGTTGACCCGGCCCCGTACATCAGGTTCGGGTTGACCCGTCGGGACGCGTTAAAATTAAACCCGACGGGTCGGGTTCTCTCGACGAGGAACCTGACCCGACCCATAAAAAATTCGGGTCCCATTAAAAATTCGGGTTCCGGTCGGGTTACCCGACCCGACCCGACCCTTTGCTCATGCCTTTTTGTATGTAACACACTGGACTGGGTACACCACACCACAAGGCTTACGCTAGGCCCTAGGGTGTTTCGGAAGGTGTCGAATCAGGGTCCAATAATACCCATAATTTTCCGGATTCCAACGTTTTTTCTCTCGGAATCTCTCCGAGTTCTCAAAGCGGTTATTCTGCCGAAGTGTAAGGACTTTGTCCATCTTCCACTCTGATGTGTGGGGTGCACTTGAAATGCACGGTCAAGTCCCGAAAATTACCAATCAACTTTGGTTTTCCTGAGGGAGAAAATTCTCCACGCAGTGGCGCATGGAATTTCTCCCTACAGAACGCCATGCGGGAGACTAGCTCGTCAGGATTCATGAAAAAACTTCACAGAATGCTTCAGGTTTCTAAGGCTCATTGACTTGGCGACAGTCAGAGATTCAGAAAAGCCAAACCTGTTAAAATCCGGGTTCGGGGTTTGAAAAACTCTTAATTCCTCGACATTTAGGGTAGCTACCATTTCGTGTGTATTCTCACACACAGTGCTCTGGGCTTGGATGTGTGTCACAGCTCGCCAAGTGTGACTTGCACAAATCATGTATTGTAGCCTACACTTCTATTGTGGTCTCCTGACTGCGCACGGACAAAGGATGAGACAAGAAGTATTGATTGTCATGTGGCCCCCTTCCACCCAGTGGGAAATGTGGGCTTCCAAGAATTAGCTTGCAAGAGGATGCAAATGGGAAGGGAAGATCCGCTATCGCATGTCAACATTGGTTCACAGTTCCTAACTGGGAATGTTCAAGTATGGTTAACTTTGCTAACTAGCATAGCGCACTGCCCATCCCTCTCACACTTTCTCCCTCCAATCTCAACCTTCTCAATCTCAAATCTAAATTGAGAATGGCATGAGCAACAGTCCGGGCTAGCATGGGCCAGCTTAGGCACGGGCCAGGCAGGGGGCGGGCCGACTCGGGCAACAGCCCATGGCCGTATTAAGGAGTTGGGCCAGGGTTGGGCCAGGGGTGGGCCAGTTGGCTTCTCAGATCAGATCTGCGCATTTCTCCTGCCGAAATGTCAGTTCCACGACGTTAGGGCGTGTAGCGTACGGTTTCCACGCGGTAGTTCCTGAACTCAGTTCCGAACTCTATTTTCGCGAGTTTCGTTTGTCTGTGGAACACCGAGTTCTGAAACTCGATGTTCCAAAGCTCAAACGTTTGAACGACATGCGAAGCCCACTTCGCGAAGAGGCGAAAACCCATCCGCTTGCCAGCCAGTCACACACAAGGCACAGCTCATCTGGAGCTGCCTACTACACTGCTCCATTGCAGCTCATCACCCAGATACGATTGGTGGTGAGGCGCAAGACCAACGTGGACATTGACTTGGTGATGTGTTCTCGCGGGCTTCGCCAGTTTTTTTCGCATGGAACTGGAGGAGGAATCTCGAACGACCGTTCGGACAACCGTTCGAAACTGGCGTCCGGACAGCCTTGGAATCTCTAGTTTGGGAACTCCTGAATCCTTCGCAGCAGCTGTAGCGAACATGCATGTGAACTGTGGCGAAATTATTCACCATTCTAAAACTCGGACAGAACTCAGTCCGAAACCGTAGGTTCCACGCCCTTAGAAGATCTAAACCCCTTAAAGGTTTCCTTATGCTGCATTTTACGCACCTCTTTGCAAATAATGAAGCTGATTCAATATCAGCTGCACGTTTTTTATCGCCATTACAGGCTCATAGCTTAGAGTTAGAAATGCTTTATGCTGCTTGAAAGCTGACATGCATCACATCCTTTCCAAATTTCAACCCTAAAGTTGTCGTGAGTTGAATGCAGCGTCATTTTGAAGAAAGTCAAGTGTTGAACATACAAACACTATTTCATGCATAAGTTTAGTTATTACCCAAGTCATACCTTTTACTTTAGCATGACGTCGTTCGAGGACTAATGTGGCTGTCTTGACAAACCGTGCGTTTTGCCTGTCGCTATTTCTTGTCTGACGCTCTTCACGTTGCTGGTCGCTTTGTGCTGGGACCAGAGAGGCAAGTACGCGGACGAGGCGTGTTTCAGCGGCCATCTGAACCACGTGGTGCTGGTGGTGGGCTACCTCTCGTCTGGCTTCGACCCTTCCAACTCCGCAATGCCGCCGCCCTTCTGGATCATCCGCAACTCATGGGGCACAAAGTGGGGCGACCAGGGCCACATGCGAATGGACATTCGCAGTGGCGATGGCATCTGCGGCATCAACACTCTCCCTGGGCTCTTCCCTGTCATCAGAAGTGAGTGTCCAGCGCTCCATTACCGGTATGCTCTCTTTTCCGCTCGCCAATTCTCCTCCTCCTCCTCCTCCTCCTCCTCCTCCTCCTCCTCAGTGCATTTCGTCGGCTGAAACGCGAGATCCGCGCATATTGGCAGGCGAAATGCCAGATCTGCACAAATCGGTGGGTGAAATGCAAGATCCTTGCACGTTGTCCACCAATAATCTTCATTTGCGCACATTGGCGGGCGAAATTCCAGATTCATGCGTTTCTGCCATATTTTTCACTCTTTGTACGACAAAATTGGGCCGGAAAGGATGACCGTATTTTGAACCAGCCCCGCAAACCCTTCTTTTACTGTATCTTCCTAATTATACGACCGTATCATTCGGTACCGAACCATAAGACAAAAAGAGGGGAATTTTGCCGTATTTTTGCAACCCTGCATGCACTTGTAAAACCCATTGGTTTTTACATATGTAGCTAATGGATTGCACAAATGACGAACCCATGGTGGTGCTGTATGGTTTTATTGTATGAGTTACGGGAGTGTGTCAAGAACCTTTGCATCGCAATCCCCTTGTTCCCCTTTCCGATCTTCTTGCCTTGGCTTACGATATGCTTCGTGTCCCCGCTGCTTTACTGCAAGCAATCTCTCCATCACCTTACTCCCCTCAGGAGAAAGAGGAGCAGACAGATACTATTTCATAAGTACTTTGACAGCTAGCAGCGCAGAGTTCTTGACACCAAGAAATACATATCATCTGGTACTCGGATGGTTTTCAAAGCAAAGTTGGGTACGAGTTATACTCCATTTCATACCCCTAGCACTCTATAACCATGGCCCACATACCCACCATACCCATGCTCCTTTAATGAACAATTGCTGCTATTTTCCTCCTCCATGTGCTCAATTCCCAATGCCCAATGCCCACACCATGCGCTAAGCAGCTATTGTGGATCCGTGTGGGTTCCGCTCCTTCAAGTACCCCGTCCTCGGCCCTGTCTTCAACCCGTGTGGCCAGTACAACTGCAGCAAGAAGGGCACTAGCAATCGTTGCAAGTGCTCTGATGCCCGCTTTGCTGAAGTGAAGAACACCGATGGATCCTACACCTGTGCCTATGGTAATGCGCACCACTATGTTTCAAACGGCTTTGCAATCACCCCAGCGTATCTTGACAGATTTATTCTGCTCTGCAGCTTTTTTTTCTGTTCGAAGAGGCTAGTTTGCTCTCGTGCCTTTATCTTTCACAACGTTACTTCCATCCCCTGTGGCCCCGTTTATGCCCTCCTGATTCCTCAGAACCATTCCCCTTGCATTTCACAAACCTATCCCTGTGTCGATAACCTTGCACATGCAAATGCATGCCCACCCCATGGCTACCCCCCAGTGGACGTGTGTGGGTCCAGCAGTCGCAATCCGTGTGTGGTGGGCACGTGTGTGAACGATGGCAGGGGCAGCTACTCCTGTGTGTGTCCCCCGGGGTTCGTCCAGGGCACCACTCTCGCCAGCACCGCCTCCTGTGCTCCGGGTAACATCCACCTTCTAGTTACAACCAATAAGTGCCTTCAGGTGGAGTTTATCCATGGATCTTGGTCCTTTCACTGGCACCGTGCAATTAGTAACAAGGTGTGAGAGGCTTGAAAATGAGCCACGTGCAGCCACGTGCGGAGTGCCAGAGTGTCAGGCACGGCTCTTAGATCCCAAAACCGCAACATGTGGTTCTAAGGGCTGAGGCTGCTAATGTCTTGCAATGGGTTTGTGTGAAGGATGAAATTGGAGTTGGGAAGGGTGAAGTGAGGAGCACGATACCAATAGTGGAGGACTTCGAACTGTTTACACGAATAGACGCAGTCTATTCAGGGACGCGGATCTCATGCCTCGAGACACTGTGGGGCATGGGCAGCAGTAGTGCGATGGACGAGTAACTGAAGACCCCTCTCCTGTCTGCCGTTTTCTATGTATTGTTCTGAATGCAGGTGATGCAGGGGGGGTGTACAGGGTGCAGCAATCAAATGTGTGGTGCGCTGATGTGCATCCCATCTTCGCCCTCACACTGGACCAGTTCGTGCAGCAGAACAAGGTAACAGGGGCGTGCAGCAGCGAGCAGAGGCAAGCAATGCACCAACTTGTAAATTATTTTTTGGTGTCTTTGCTGGAGAACAGCATATGCTCACCATCAACCCCTCCCCTGCATGTGCCACAGGGCATCTCGTGCTCCAAGCCTCTGCGCCGCAACTCAAGCCTGCTTGTCAACTCTACAGTGGAGCTGTGCTCTGTCTTCTACACCACTGTTCAGGTGAGGGCCTGAATGTTCTGAATGATTGTCAGTTGGTGCTTGCACGCTTTAGGGCGGCAAACACGAGGGCTAGAATCAAATTGCCAGGATAGATTCTCTTCATTTTTTCCAGGCGTGGGAGGAATCAAAATTGCACGAGCGAGTGCGTTATGTATGTCTCATTCAAACGTTTCAACTCTCCAGGCAAGACTTGTTGTAATCAGCAGAATGCTCAGCGTAACCCCCTTTGAGTCGGAATTGAAGTTCCTTGGGTGGTTTCAAAGACCTCCACCTAATAGTTGGACCATGTGTTCAAACAACCCTGACCCCCCAATATCCCACACTGACACTGTGCTATTAACACCCCATACCTCTTCCTTATGGTCCACATCCCATTCTACAAAATTCCGACCTTCCCTCACTTCCACCCTCCCCCAACGCATCCCCTCCCCTCTTCCCTCAATACTCCCCCAGGGCGACACGTGTGCGGGGGTGGGGCGGCAGGTGCAGCTGTGTGGGGAGGGGGCGTTGGATGCGGCGTGTGAGGCGGCATTTCAGGCGCTCAACCCCGCTGTGGACTGCTCGTCCCTGAAGCCCTCCCAGGCGGTGTGCGTGGAGCGAGACCCCTCCAAGGCCAACCTGACTGTGGTGTGCGACCAGTACTACCGCGCACGCCTCAACGACACCTGTGACAGCATTAGAGCCATGGCAGAGCCACCTCTCAGTGCGGTGGACTTCTACCGCCTCAACCCTGGCGTCAACTGCAACCAGCTCATCCCCCTCAAGAAGGCCTCACGCCCCGCCACCACCTTCGGCAATGAGGTGAGTCCTGCATGCTTTTTGCCACGTTTTCAACTCTGGAACGTGCTGGGCGTTGTTTGCTCAGAGGCCAATGCATGACTACTCTGGCTTCTGCACCCCCATTTCATATTGTGGCCACCCTCCTCGCTTCCTCTCCCCATGGCTGCAGGTGTGCATTGGCAGCGTCACCAACTTCACAGCTGGCAAGTGTTCAAGGACCAGCACCTACACCATCTCGCCTGGTGATGATTGCAAATACATCCAGCTAAAGTATTTCTACAGTATTAAGGGATGTTACAGAAGAATGAATGGATATGAGTGTGTAGACACGTTGAGACCTGGGGTCAGAATATGCACACCAAGTGCCAAAAAGGCTCGAACTGGAAGCTGTAGCATTTGATGAGATTCGCAATGAAATCCCGTGTACAATCTGTAATTAGTGAACGTAAAAATCAGGAAGCTTTTGAAGACCTTCAAGCAAGAGTCAATGAACGCACAGAAGATACCATGGGTGGGCTGCAATGGACTTATAAATATTCCTGCCTTGATGGTTTATTGGTGTTGCAAGTTTCCGTAGCCTAAGAAAAGTATTGTGTTCACTCACATGGGTTTAGAAACCCCCGCCCCCAAGCCCCCAACCCAGTGTCTTCTACACACTACTAGCAAGTGCCCTCTACACAGCACAAGCAGCTTGCTGGGCAGCAATGGCTTTCTTTGAGAAGAAATAGAGTATGGGGGGGCGATTCTTGCGGCGCCTCAGAAACAGTGCCAGCAACGAGGTCAGCAGAAGCAGTACCGCCAGAGGGAGCAGCAGCAACAGCAGCAGGTTCTGAGGTGCCTGAGCCACTTCCACATCTTCACAACCTGGTGTGTTTCACAGGGTGGGTTGTATAAGAAGAGATGGGGAGGAGATTGGGGGGAAGGGTGCAGAAAAAGGCGTGTAGTGAAGGCAGCTCATCTTGCTGCCTTGAGGTGGGAGAAATGGAGGAGACTAACATGCTCGCCTCTTACCAGTTTGTTTTGTCCGTGATTGAAAAAGGCAATTCGAAGGAAATAAAAAGCGCTTGAGAGGCATTGAGTGGGGCTGGGCACGAAGGAGCGCACACCATGGCCAATGCAGGGTTGGTTGAGCAGCAGGGCCCGAAACAACGACTGGCACTCGCTGGCACTCCGCTGCCCCTGCAATTCCTCCCAAAAAGTCAGCCGGCTGCAAAGGCAGCCATGGCGCATATCCACGCTGCACCCTGAAATGGATCCGATGGAGACCTCAGCGCAGTGGACTTGAACACTTGCCAGCTGTGGACTTCTACCGCCTCAACCCCGGCGTCAACTGCAACCAGCTCATCCCCCTCCAGAACGCCTCTCACCCCGCCACCACTTTCGGTGCAGAGGTTAGTCCACGTGATGCATGCAGCGTGGTGTCTGCAGCTTGATGGAAAATTGCTCTGCTGGACTTGCGATGGTTCTTTGCCTCGTTCTTCGTGAAGAGCCCACTGCTGCCTTGGTGCATATTTATATGGTCTCGAATGCGTAAATTTGGTTTTCTTCCCATGTCGCTGCAGGTATGCATTGGCAGTGTCACCAACTTCACAGCTGGAATCTGCTCCAGGACCAACACCTATACCATCTCCTTAGGAGATGATTGCAAGTACATCCAGCTGAAGTATTTCTACAGTATCAAGGGCTGTTACAGACGGATGAATGGGTACGAGTGTATAGACAAGTTGAGGCCTGAATTCAAAATTTGCACACGGAACACCAGGAAGGCTCGTGCAGGATTGTGTGGCGTCTGAATGGACTCATTTATTTAAAACCACATACTAAAATAGGAAAGGGGGGGGGGCTTCAAGAGCGCCGCTCCTGAAAGTGGGCATACTTGGAAAAAAATTGGGCGACTGCCGTAAGAAGTTTGGAGCAGACGGGCAGATTTGAACCACACTATTTCGCACCTAACTGGGGTTGTGCGATATTGAAACGCGTGCGACGAGGCGGCGAAGCCATGTGCGACAGACCAAATTTCCCGCCAAAATGACGAGAGAGGAATTTGATTGTGTTGTGCTCAGAAACGCCCTTGTAACAGAATGCTTGATAGCACAGCGGAAGTCTTGATGAACCCTTGTATTGGTATGTGAGAACAAGTGACTGATTATAGCAAAGAATACAAGGTTTATTTATAATAATACAGGAGAATATGAAGAATCTAACTGATTATGCACTTCGAGGGGTACATTCTCTTTACGATTCGGTAAGAGCGACTCGGGTAACCACCGGTGCTGTAACACCGTGAGGTGAGCTGTAGCTCTAGCTCGCCTTCGAACTAGACAGTGATGGAGGTGGTGGAGCCGATGCAGGACGTAGTCGCCACTGCGGGAGAGGAGGTACATGCAATGGTGGTGGGGCAGTTGCGCGAAGCCCATGGCGGTGAGGATGTGGTGCAGGTACTGCTGCCTCGGGCGCGGAGCCTAATTAATCCCGTAAAGGGATTTGACAAGCTGGCACACCAGCATGGGGCCGTCGACGTACGCGTGGGGCTGCTCAACGAAGATATCAGCATCGACCGGGGCGTAGAGAAATGCCGTGGCGACGTCGATCTGGCACAGAGGGAGATTGCGGGCAGCGGCGACGGCGAGGAGGATGCGAAGGGACGTGTGGCGACTGATGGGAGCGAAGGTCTCAGTGTAGTCGCGGCCGTGCTGCTGGTCGAATCCGTGCATGACCCAGCGAGCTTTGAAGCCAGTCGATGGTTCCGTCCGCCTTGGTCTTCACGCGGAAAACCCATTTTCCCGAGAGTATTGTTTTTCTTGCCGTTTGAGAGATGGAAATGAGTTCCATGTGTTCCTCTCGTGCAGCGCCGCTAATTCCCGATCCATTTGCCTCCCTCCATTTTTCCTTGTGCGACCCCTCTAGTGCATTCTTGACAGTCTTCGGTTCCTCCACTTGCAGCGTCGAAGGCAGCAGGTGCATGGCTGCGACGAGTCCGAGTATCTGCAGTCCAGTTTCAGAGTAGCGGGGGATGTGTGGATCCTCGAGATAGTCTGCTTTCTCTCCCACTTCAAAGTCAAGTATGAAACCACATCCTATGCGTTCGGAAACATTGTTGTCGACGCGTTGTGGGTTAACGTAACCGTTGTCAGCGAAATGGTAGTACGCGTCAGCATTCGCACTTTCGCGAGGGTTATCGTCATCCATGGGGACGTCGACAAAGCAGTAAGGGAGAGGTTCGGCGACTGCAGATGCATCCGAATGGTCTGTTCATCCAAGTCAGCTTCTTCGTCTGCTGAGGCGAACGTGCGTGCGCCAACGAAGCCACCAGGTGGGTCCTGATTGGTGGCAATGTTCGCAAGGTAATGGTCGAGGGTGAGGTTCTCTAGATTTCCCATGCCTTTTAATGTTTCTCCACACCGAGGTGTAGTCCCCATCATGCCCCCTGCGAAAATTGTCCAGCACGTGCAGTGTGCGAGCGGTACTGTACCACGCAGTTGAAATTTCGTAAAAGTTTTGTACTGCCCTTCTTCCTTCTCCATAGTAGATGCGGTGATGCGTTGTTTGGCAGGGAGTTTGACGACAAAAGATTCTGCAGCATGACAGCGTAATTCATCGCCTCCGGCCACTACGAGTTGGGCAGACGCATGCCAGTTAGTAGCTTCTGCATGTTGTTCTGGAGGGTCCTGTTCATCCTCTCTGCTACACCGTTATGTGGATAGGCGAAGGGGAGGGTTACAAGCCTCTTGATTCTCCTCTCTGCAAGATATTCCTTGAAGCGCTGTGACTGGTATTCTAATGCCCCATCTGTTTAAGTTTTTTTGAGCTTGACGTCTCCCTCCCGCTCTGCTGCAGCGAGCCATGTGACAAAAGCAGAGAAGGCGAGGTCGCGGGACGGTAGATTGAGATGCCATGTGTAGCGCGTGGCGTCGTTGACGAAGATGATGACACGGTTGAGGTCAGCTCTGCCGAAGTCGTGCGGGATATACAGTATGTCACTGTATACCTTCTCAAGAGGAGTATACTCAGGTGCGCTTGGGTTGTGATGCGATGGGAACGGATGACGAGGAAGATCGGCTTTGGGACGGATAAAACAGGTACGTCAAGGTCATCGTAGTTCGCGACCATCAAGAAGGAAGAGAGCGTCCTTGTCGAGGACGTTCGCGCGAATAGTGTCGAAGAGCCTTGAGTTGCCGAGGTAACCTAAATGTTGATGCTATATCTCTTCGCTCGCTTTGTGTCCCACTGATCGACGGTACAAGTCAGAGTTGGCGTAGAAGGTGCAGACATTCACGGCGCTTAGATGCTGCTCGCAAGAATGCACCTTCAGCTGCGCGGCTTCGGTTGGTGGCGGTTCGTCAATGGGCACTATCAGCCGGAGATTCTTTGACAGGTGGTGCGGACGTGCAGGGAGTGCTCGTGTCGGTGCTTGTTGCTCGATTGCTTGTGCTACTTCTGTTTCTTGTAGCTCTTTTGCTTCGCGCATCACAGCTAATGTGGGAGTGCTCTCAGCTTCATGTATCGTGTTGGAGTACCAGAAGCCATCGCGGTCTAAACAGGGGTCGAGATCCGGCGGGTGCGTTCAAGATATGAAGGAGACGACGCCATCGCTGTCAGCAATCCCGTGGTCTGGGACGAAGTCCAAGACGAAGACTCTGTGCCTTTGGATCGCTCTGCCAATTAAGAGACTGCCCTTCTCGTGTTAGAGGCGAATCTCCTGATCAAAGATATTACAGACCATGTGAATACCATTAGACATGAGCTGACTGACACATAGCAGATCGTAGCCAGGGTTGTCGATGATGAGTACCCTTGACATTTGTAACACCACGATTGTTTCGAGGGATTTTAGCTGAACGACTCCCTCTTTGCGTGTGCGCAAGTTCTGGTTGTTGGCGATGGTGATCACGACTTCTCGGCTCAAGGTTTTCTCTCGTTGGATGAAGCACACCAAGGAACACATGTGCTAGCCACAGCAGCTATCAAGAAACCAAGTGTCGCGGCCAAACGGTTCGTCGCGAGCTATCACACCGTAAGTCGGGTTCGGTTGGAGCCGGGTCTGTGTCAGAGAGTGGGGTTGTTTGTCGAGATCGCTGTGAGGCAGGGAGTTGGGTGCGCAAAAGTCTGTTCGTGCCATGCAGCTTATGGCATTGGATGCATCTTGTGAAGATCGGTTCGTCGGAGCTGGTGGGCGCTGTTGAATTGAAGCGACCGGATTTGGGGATGGACGTGGTGCTCGGGGCTGATACTGCGGGGACTGCGGCTGCTGCTCCTGCTGGTGTTGGCACAGCTGTTGCCTTGGGCAGTTGAAGCAGGAGTGACCAGACGTGTGGCAAAGATGGTAGAACTGAGGTGAGTATCATTTCTGGTTTGCATTGTTGTTGCGCCCGTGTGCGTAAAACGCTGGTTGCTGACTTTGTTTCTTTGCATGGCGCTCCTTGTACAGGTCCATGATTTGCTACTTGGCGTGGAGCTCCGCGCATAGATGCATCTCGAAGATTTTCCTGTGAGCCCAGAGGAGGGAGTGCGTTATCGGCCATTGAGGACCGAGGCCGGCAAGGACGATCGTGATGAAGGAATCTTACGATTAGTGCCCGCCACTTCGTAAGAGTCTGTCGCGCAGTCCCCTTCAGCGATTGATGTACGCCATACACTTCTCTCCTGCCTGCATCTGGATTGTTGTGAGTTGCGCCATCGGTCGCTTTGCGTCACACTGTTAGAGGCTTGGTAGACGCTGTTCAGGCGATAGTAGGCAAGCTTAGCTGAGTTGCCGAAGTTGCGATACGTGCGAATGCTCTATTGCTCCATTGGTGTCAGGTTGCATAGAAGGATGGTGAAGGCCATCAGCGACTGATATGTGTAAACTTTCTTTTCTTGAATAATCTCGTTGACAGGGAGTACCCAAGATCCGGTGAAGTATTCGAGGATCTGCGCTCTGTCCATCAGCAGCTCTAATTTGAAACTCCAGGTAAAGAAGTCCTTGCCGTTGAATGGGAAGTATGTCTGTAGCTGAAGTATGTTGTTGAACTGCTGCTGCATGCTGAGAATGTTAGTCGGTTTTTCGCTTGCTTCAGAGTCCACTGCTGCTGCAAGAGTTGGCAGGAAAGTGAAGGATCCTGGCGAAGGCTGGTAAGGTTAATGCTGAGTAGGCTGGTTGCCTCTTGCATAGGATGAGCCATCGAGGCTCATCAGTACTGCGCCACTGACGCTGTTTTTGTGAGTCGACTGAGCAGGTGCCGAGGGTTGCTCGTAGGTCGACATGAAGAGAAGAACTTCTTCATGAAGGCCGGGTCAATGCCCGAGGAGGAAGCTACTGGATGAGTGGAAGTTCCTGCAGTTGCGCCTTACGCAACGTCTTGATGAGTGCCTGTCTCAGTTTGTAGGTCAGAGACTGGAAGCGTGGATCCACTAAAAGATCCTCCCCCCTTGGAGGGTGTCATGTCTTGTAATTCTTGATTTAATGAAACTGGAGTTGTTGCGAGTGAATCTCCAACCAAGTTAGAAACTCACTGACGAAGTTAGTAATGGGAACGTAGTTTCTGACTAGATCTCATACCATGTTGGGCTGAGAAAAGCCCTAGGATCTTTTCAGAAAACTAAATCCCTGTAATAGAATGCTTGATAGCACATCGGAAATCTTGATGAACCCTTGTACTGGTATGTGAGAACAAGTGATTGATTACAGCAAAGAGATACAAGGTTTTGTATAATTATACAGGAGAATATGAAGAGTCTAACAGATTATACACTTCCAGGGGTACATTCCCTTTACGACTCGATAAGGGTGACTCGGGTAACCACCCGTGCTGTAATACCCGAACCGTTATTTGTCCTTGTTGTCGCGCCGACTTTTTCAACATATACTTCTGACTGTTGGGTTGCATGGTCAACTGTCTCCGACCGTTGCCCTTTCGTAACCTCTGCGAGGTGTCGTCAACCTGCATCAACCGTCGAAAGTACTCTAGCAGGGTTTAGCTTGTCAGTCCTCGATGTTGTGGTCTTCGCGTATTGTTACAGCACACGAGACTCTTGAAATGCTCTTAAGTCCTTATATAATTCCAACAGATTGTAGCCGGGTTCTGTTTAGGTAAAATCAGATCCTAGGCCAAGTTACACGAAACATGCATGGAGAGGGGACTACCTGCATTTATATGCGTGAAGTGAGAACGGGGTTCCGGTTGACTTAAAAAAGCCTTGTGGAACCTTGGACTCATTTGTGAATATAAATGGTCTGTAACTCATACCTCGGAACATCATGAATAGCATATAAGATTGTCAACATCACAATGGATTAATATGCAAAATGCATGTGCATTTTTTTGGCCACGAAAATATGTGACTGTAGCAAACAATATCCCTGCCTGCATCATTCGCATATGTTGAAATGGCAGCACAGATTATTGCAGCATTGGCGGCAGTGCTGGCATAGCCTCTGGCTTCAGCTGCCATTCCCAAGCCAGCCATTTTGTCTCCGTGCCTGTCCTCATGTCACCTCCCGCTTGCACACTCTGGCCGCTCCAGATACTATCCTCCCCATGCGCGCCCCCCCGTCCCCTTCCCCCCCTCCTACTCTGATCCTGCCCCTCTGCATTTTTCGGTCCGTGGCCCCACCCTAGAATACCCTTTTCTGCTTCTGAAATGCTGTTTGCAAGCAGTGCAGCTGCTGTCACAGCAGTGTCGGGAGGAACCCCAGGTACCGTGGTTGCAGCAGGGGAGAGGGTCAGCTGTTCAGTCAAGTCCAGAGGGAAAGAGACACAGGAGCAGGGCGGGGTGGAGAAGCAGAGCATGGAGAAGGGGAGTGGTGTGCAGGTTCAGGGGTGGAGGGGCGGGAGGGGAGGCGGCAGGGGAGAAAGACGTGATGACAGGGGGGGAGGGACAGCAGCAGCAGTGGTTACTGCAGGGAGAAGGGAAGGTGATATAAGGCCACTGGGGCGACCGGCACTCTGCTGCCTGTTCTTGTGGCGCTGTTGCTGGTGATAAGTGTGCTGGCTGTTCCCCCCCTCCTGCTCTGCCGGTTTCTAAACTGACTCTCTCAGCAAATTCATGCTCTTCCTCCCCGTGCCTCCCCTTGCTCCGCTCCTTACACTCGTGGCCCTCACTCACACCCCCATCTCCACTGCCCTGTGCGAGAGGAGGGGGACAGGGGGGAAGAGAAAATGGGGGGAAGTAAGAAACAGGGTAAATGGTGGGTGACGAGAAGAAGCATAGGGCCACGGAAGAGCACCTGAGCAATAGGGTGAACAGAAGGGTTGAAGGGGAAGTGGTTGAGACATGGGGAATACGGATGGCAAAACTGGCGAAGGCAAGCAAACGTGAGGGCATAAGTGAAAAGGGTAGAGGATAGGGGAAAGGCTTGACGGGGAGAAGAGAAAGGGGAGGGAGGATGGAGGAAAGGACGGGAGATGGGAGCGAGGTAGAGAGAGGAAGCCTTTGCATCGACGACAAGCGGACATGGTACAGCAGATAATGGGGGAACAGGAGAGCAGGGGGGCAGCAGGGGGACAGCAGAGAGCAGGGGGACATCAGGTGGACAGCAGAAAACGGGAAGAAAGGAGGGGCAGCAGAGAGTGGAGGGACAAGTGTCTCAGGATTTGGTGAGAGTTCGGATAAAAGGAGCAAGAGGGGTGGGGCTTGGGATGAAGAGATGGGGCAAAAGAATGGCGAGGGAAAGGGTTACAACTGGAGAGGGGGAGAGGGTATTGAGAGGGGGTGAGACATTGAAAGGGTAGGGGATCCAGAGGTGGGGGAGAGGACAGGACGGAGCAGATAGCAAGCCGTACAAGATTGATTCTTAAGATTAAACCCCTCTTACTGCCAAGCATTCCCCTCTCCCTGCCCTATGTTCCTCCTCCCCTCGCCCTCTGCTCTCTACCCTCCTCACCCTCCCTTGCTCTCTTCTCGCCCTCTCATCTGCCTCTCCCTGCCCTCTCATCTGCCTTCCGTCGCCCTCTCCTCGCCATCTTTTCCCCCTCTCCTCGCTTTCCATTCCCCCTCTCCTTGCCATCTCTTTCCCCCTCTCCTAGCCATCCCTTTCCCCCGCCTGTCGACATCCGTTTCCCCTCTCCTCGCTCCCTGTTCCCCCTTTTCTCGCCCCGCGTTCCCCTCTCCTCGCTATCCGTCACCCTCTCCTAGCCATTCTTTCCCCCTCTCCTTGCAATCCTCCCCCCCTCTCCTCTAAATCCTCCCCCCCTCTCCTTGATCCATCCATCCCCCCTCTCCTCGCCATCCGTCCCCCTTCCCCTCTCTCTCCTCCCTCTCTCCTTGCCATCCTTTCCCCCTCTCCTTGATCTCCGTTCCCCCTCTCATTGCCATTTTTTCCCCCTCGATTTCCGTTCCCCTCCAATCCCCCCCCCCCCCCCCCCACCTCTTCTCAGCACGTCCCGCCACCCTCTCACAGCATTCCTCCTTATTTCCCGGCTAGTCTCCGTAATATTCCCTTCCCCTCCCAAGGCGGTGTGGGAGGCATATGACGCGTCTTAGCAACAGACCCTGGCAGCAGCACAGGGCCTCTTGGTTCCCCCGTATCCTTTTCCCCACCCTCCCTATTTCACAAACAGGCCAAGAAGAAGTGGCGAGCGGCGACACGGCGAGAGGGGACACGGCGACGAGTTGAACTAAGCGCAGGCTCCCGCTGTGACGATCTCGTGAAGCTTAGGCGCCTGCACATTAATTCTATCGCTGCCAGACGGGTCTAGGCTATGTGTCGGGCTTTGACACGGGGATTATAAGAGTGTGTTCCTACCGTATTCCCCTGGATAAAACACCCGCCGGAATTAATCACCCATGGGTGGTTTGGGCGGACCTGGGTGCTTTATGAAACTGGATATTCATACCACCCTAGTTGTTGGCATGAAACCTATACACCACCCCCCTGGTTCATTTTCACTGTATTTCTTTAGATTTTGCCTCTTATCAGAGTGTCTCTTATCAGACTCACGCGTCACTGAGCAGTGCAAGCTCGGCGCGAATTGGTTCAATGCGGTGTAGAACTGTTACCATGCCTGGAATTCTCGTCACTCAGGCGAATGTTGCGAGTCTGATACGAGGCTCATGGGAACACACTCCTCACAGTCAACACTGCAGCGCGGGAGAATCCATGTCGGTCGGCCCTGGTTGGGTCGTGAAGGAATCTGCAGCAGATTCCTTCCGGCTTTGGTGCGCTGTCACATTGTGGCGTCGAGGTTGCCACTTGCTACCACGATCTGATAGAACGTTACAACCTGTGACGCAGGCAACCAGTGACTGTTAGCCTGCATTGTGGCATGACGATGGTCCTCCTCACCATATACGCGATCATGTGCAAGAATCGTCAAAATTTGGCACAAAAGAACAATCTTCAATACAGTTCAATTCCACTTCATAAACATTAAAGTAAGGTGTCATTGTCAAACATGTTTAGTTATCATGCTTGTATAGACTGTATAGGGTTATCTTCTAGAGAGTACAACATTTAGGTATATGTTTGTGTACTCTCTCTCCCTATTCATCAATTTCACTGTTTGTTATGGTATCACGCGTAGGTAGGATCCCCCCCCCCCCCCCTCACGCTTCCGCTCGCCCCCTAGCTGGGCCCCGTCGTGCTCCTAGCCCCGTCGCGACCCTCCCTAGCCCCGTCGCGACCCTCCCTAGCCCCGTCGCGCCCCTTCCTGGGCCCCGTTGCGCCCCTTTCTGGGCCCCGTCGCGCTCCTCCCAGGCCTCGTAGCGCCCCTCCTGGGCCCCATTGCGCTCCTCCCAGGCCCCGTCGCGCCCCTTCCAGGGCTTCGTAGCGCCCCTCCAGGCCCCGTCGCGCCCCTTTCAGGGCTTCGTAGAGCCCCTCCAGGCCCCGTCGCGCCCCTTCCAGGGCCTGGTAGCGCCCCTCCAGGGCCCCGTCGCGCTCCTCCCAGGCCCCGTAGCGCCCCTCCTGGGCCCCATTGCGCTCCTCCCAGGCCCCGTCGCGCCCCTCCCTAGCCCAGTCGCGCTCCTCCCAGGCCCCGTAGCGCCCCTCCTGGGCCCCATTGCGCTCCCCCCAGGCCCCGTCGCGCCCCTACCTGGGCTTGGTAACGCCCCTCCAGGCCCCGTCGCGCCCCTACCCATCCCCGTCGCCCCTGCTCGGCCCCGTCGCCCCTGCTCGGCCCCGTCGCCCCTGCTCGGCCCCGTCGCCCCTGCTCGGCCCCGTCGCCCCTGCTCGGCCCCGTCGCGGCCTATCGGCCGCGTGGCGCCCGCCCGGCCCCTGTCGCGGCTGCCCGGCCCCTGTCGCACCTGCCCGGCCCCTGCTCGCCCGCCCGGCCCCGTCGCCCCTGCCCGGCCCTGCTGTGGCCTGCCCGGGCCCCGTCCCTGCCGCCCGGCCCCGTCGCCGCCGCCCGGCCCCGTCGCAGCCGCCCGGCCCTGTCGCAGCCGCCCGGCCACGTCGCAGCCGCCCGGCCACGTCGCAGCCGCCCGACCCCGTCGCCCCTGCCCGGCCCTGCTGTGTCCGGCCCGGCCTCGTCCCTGCCGCCCGGCCCCGTCGCAGCCGCCCGGCCCCGTCGCAGCCGCCCGGCCACGTCGCAGCCGCCCGGCCTTGTCGCTGCCGCCCGGCCCCGTCGCCGCCGCCCGGCCCCGTCGCAGCCGCCCGGCCCCGTCGCCGCCGCCCGGCCTTGTCGTGCCTGCCCGGCCCCGACGCACCTGCCCCGGCCCTCCATACTTCCTGGTACTGTCCCCCGTTCCCCGCACCACTTTGCACCCTCCTGCACTTTCCTGCCCCGCCTTGCATCGCATTGCACCTCACTGGATCGCACTGACCGCACTGCACCGCACTGGACCGCACTGCACCGCACTGCATCGCACTGCACCGCACTGGACCGCACTGCACCGCACTGCATCGCACTGCACCGCACTGCACTGTCCTCCACTGCCCCTCATGGCTGCTGAGCTTCGTTTTGATGTTGAGGGTCAGCCTCTGGAGTTCGAGGCGTGGTTGGCTGACCTTCGCCGCCACCTCACTGGCGAGCGGCAGGACGGCCACCCGCTTTCTGCACACCTAGACGGTATGCTCCCCTGCCCTGACCCCCCTGCTGTGCTGCCCGCTGATCCCACGCCCGCTGAGCGCGAGTCCACTGCCGCTGCTGCCCTTGCCCGCTCTGTCTGGCTTTCCCGCGATGCCCTTGCTCAGCTCGCCATTAGCAATGCCCTCCCCCCCACTGAGCGCCCTCGCTTTAGAACCATTCCTACCGCCCAGGCCTACCTCGATGCTGTCATCAAGCGCTATTCTACCCCTCCTGCTGCCTCAGTGGGTCGCCTGATCCTTCCCCTGCTCTTTCCTGACCTGGCGTCTTTCCCCACTGTCTCTGACCTCGCTGCCCACCTGCGCTCGATAGATGAGGCCTGGCGCGCTGCCTGCACTGATGCTCAGCTTAGAGTCCACCAGCCTCCCATGACCTCTACCCTCTACCTCCTTGCCACCCGCCTACCTGACCGCCTTGCCGCCGCCCGCGACCAGTTCCTTAGCATCCACCCTGCTGCTCTCACCCTCACCGACTTTGTTGACACCCTGACTACCATAGAGACTCGTCACCGCTCCATAGCCCTGGCGAGCGGTACAGTACCGGTCCCTATCTTTCAGGGTTGTGCCCCCGCTCAGTGTACCTTCTCCGACGGCTCTGTCGCTGTGGCTGAGACTGCTGCTGCAGTGCAGTCCCGCTCGGCGAAGGGCCGCCGCCCCAAGGTTGGGAGCGGCGGAGGCGGCGGGGGTGCGGGTGGGGGTAGTGGTGGAGGCGGGTCGTCCGGTGCCAGTGCGGACGTGGGGACCCTGCCCGGTCCAGCTGCCCCGCTGCCTCCACAGTTGCAGCAGCCGCAGCAGCAGCAGTCGCCGCAGCCGCAGCCTTCGCAGCAGCCGCAGCAGCCGCCGCAGACGAGGCAGGCGAGTACTCTCCCACCTGGGTGGCCTGGAGCTGGTGGTGGTCGTGCGCGTGGTGGTGCACCGGGTGGTGGTTCTGGAGGCGGGCCCTGTCAGTACCAGATCCAGACCGGTCCTCGCCGCGGCTTCGTTTGCGGTAAGATCGGTCATTCTACTCCTCGCTGTTTTCGTCGCCTGGACGACCTGTTCCGCCAGCGCTTTGGCCCGGCGCCCGACCTCCCGGACTGGCACAGCTTGCTTAGGCGTAGCGTTAGGATTTTTGACTTGGACATGGATGCCATTGTAGCGGCCTTGCATGTGATGTATGCTGATGACTCTAGTGTGCTTCCCTCTTATTACCCCGTGTTGCCTAGTGTAGCGGTGCCTAGCGTAGACTCCCCTGCTGCGTCAGGCGTAGGATCTCCTGCTTTGCTTAGCCTTGGTGCTTCCACCGCTTCACTGCTGCCTCGCGCGACTGCTGCGCTTTCCTTCACCTTGGACTCTGGCGCCTCCCGGTGTTTCTTCCGCGACTCCACGACGCTGACGCCGCTGCCTGTTCCCGCTGCAGTTACTCTTGCTGACCCCTCCGGTGGTCCCGTCGTTGCCCGCAGTTCCACCTCCCTTCCCTGTCCGGCGGTTCCTTCGGGCACTCTCACAGGTCTGCATATCCCCTCGTTCTCCAGGAACCTAGTTGGTGTCGGCTGCCTCCAGGACCTTGGCGTCACCACTACGTTCCCTGGTCACGAGCGGTATGCTGTCTGTACCGAGGCCGCCACTGGTGCCCCCCTTACCACTTTCCCCCGGGACCCGGTGTCCGGCCTGTTCACACTTGATACCGCGCCGTCCCCGGCTGGGTCTTCCCCCCCGGTAGTTGCGTCCACCCAGGTTGCAGCCGCGTGCTCCTGTCGGTCCCTCACTCATCCGACTCTCCTTTGGCACCACCGCCTTGGTCACCCTGCACTCCCACGTCTGCGTCACATGTCCCAGCACGGTCTCGTCCTTGGTCTCCCCGGTTCGTTCCCCGAGTTTCCCTCCTCCCCCGCCCCACCGTGCACGCCTTGTGTCGAGGGCCGGCTCCGCCGTGCCCCTCACTCCTCCTCTTTTCCCCCTACCACCGCACCACTGCAGACTCTGCACATGGACGTCTGGGGCCCAGCCCCGGTCCATGGGCCGCGTCGCGAGCGCTTCTTCCTAGTGCTTGTCGACGACTTCACGCGCTACACCACCGTCTTCCCCCTGGAGCGGAAGGCCGACGTGCCTGACGTTCTCATCCCCTGGCTTGTCTCTGCTCGTGTCCACCGCGGTCTCCCTGCCTTGCGCCTTCACTCCGACCGGGGTGGCGAGTTTGCCTCAGGTGTCCTTGGTCGCTTCTGTCGTGCGGAGGGCATCACCCAGACGTTTACCCTGCCGGACTCCCCGCAGCAGAATGGGGTCGCTGAGCGACGCATCGGTTTGGTCATGGAGGTGGCTCGCACCTCCATGATCCACGCCGGTGCACCCCATTTTCTGTGGCCGTTCGCCGTGCGCTACGCCGCTCACCAGCTTAACCTGTGGCCGCACCCCCAGCGGCCGCAGGTTTCGCCGACCCTTCTGTGGACCGGGTCCCCTGGTGACGCGTCTGCGTTCCGCGTCTGGGGCTGCCTTGCTCACGTTCGTGCCTCTGGCACGGACAAGCTCACTGCCCGCACCCTCCCCTGCGTCTTCCTCGGTTTCCCCCTTGACGCGTCCGACTGGCACTTCTACCACCCGCCGTCTCACCGCTTCTTTCACTCTCGCGACGTCACCTTTGACGAGTCCGTCTCCTTCTACCGCCGCTTTCCCCACCGTGGTCCCCCGGTTACTCCCCCCCTTTTCCTGGTTCCTCCCTCCCTGGTGGTCCCTGCCCCTCCCCCCCCCCGCCCCCCGTCCGGCCCCCTCTGGTGTGTCTCACGTCACCCCCCTCCCGTCGGTCGTCCCGGTCGACGAGTCTTCTGACTCTGGTAGTCCTCCGGCGCAGTCCTCGCCGTCTGTCCCTCCCCCGGTGTCTCCTCCTCCACCGCCTCCGCAGCCGCCGTCGCCGCAGCTGCTGCAGCCGTCGTCTCCACCGCCGCCGCCGTTGCAGCCGTCGTCTCCGCCGCCGCCGCCGTCGCAGCCGTCGCTGCAGCCGCCGCCGCCGCCGCCGCTGTCGTCGCTGCCGCCGTTTGTGGACTCTGGGGGTGTCCCTTCTGGGGGTGCAGGTGTGGAGGGTTCGGGAGGTAGCCGTCGCGCAGCTTGTGGCCCTGGTGTTGGTGTTGTGTCGCCGCAGCAGCAGTCCCCGCCTGTGTCCGCCCTCCGTCTGCTCGGCCTTCCGTCTCCTGACCCTGCGCCTGTTCCTCTCCTGCCGTCTCCCCCTCTTCCCGTCTACGGCCCCGTGTTCCCTCTGCCAGACTCGTCCCCGGCTCGTCTTCCCGCTCGTTCCCCTCCTGTGTCCCCTCCTCTGTCTCCTGACCCGACGCCGCCCTCACACGTCTGGTCTCGCCGCCCCTCTCGTGCTCGTCCTGTCTCCCCTGTCCCGCGCTCTCACCCTATGTTGCTCCGTTCCCACGCGTCTCGTCCTCCCCTCCTCCCGTCTCCTCCTCCGTCTTCTCTTGTCGTTGCGTCTCCTCCTCTGTCCGACTCCTTTCGTGCCGCTCGTCCTCTTGTTCCTCGGGTCCTTGCCTCTCTCGTTACCGACCCGTCTGTTCCCGTGTCGAGTCTTGACGCCCTCGTCGCTGCGGTCGCTGACTTCGCCTCTACCCGCCGCCTTGACTACGCCACCGCTCTGGTCTCTCACCCTGCCTGTCCTCCGTCTGTCGGGGGTGCTCCTGCCCTCGGCAGTGACGTCCTGGAGGACCGCCAGTTTGAGCTTGCTTTCCTGTCCGAGGCTGCTCCCCATCTCTGTTCCATGCTGCTAGTCCCTGAGGGTGACCCAGACGCTTTCGACATCCCGACCCCTCGTACTTACGCTGAGGCGGTTTCGGGACCCTGGGCCTCTCAGTGGATAGCTGCCATGGAGCAGGAGATGGCATCTTGGAGATCCACTGGCACCTTCGTCGACGCAGTTCCCCCACCTGGGGTGAACGTGGTCGATGGCCGTTGGCTCTTCAAGGTGAAGCGCCCTCCTGGAGAGCCGCCTGTGTTCAAGGCGCGCTACGTGGCTAGAGGCTTCAGTCAGCGCGAGGGGGTGGACTTCTTTCAGACTTTCGCTCCTACCCCGAAGATGACTACTCTTCGGGTGCTGCTACACGTAGCGGCTCAGCGTGACTACGAGCTTCACTCCCTCGACTTCTCCACTGCCTTTCTTCAGGGCAGCCTTCACGAGCAGGTCTACCTGCGCCGCCCTCAGGGCTTTACTGGCACCTTCCCCCCTGGGACCCAGTGGCTTCTGCGGCGCCCAGTCTACGGCCTGCGCCAGGCGCCTCGTGAGTGGCACGACACTTTGCGTGCTACCCTTGCTGACCTGCAGTTCTTTCCGTCCTCTGCAGACCCCTCGCTCTTCGTTCGTGCTGGCTCGACTCCGTTCTACATCCTCGTCTACGTAGACGACCTGGTCTTTGCCACTGCTGACAGGGACGCACTGGCCTCCGTGAAGGCAGAGCTGCTGAAGAGACACACCTGCACTGACCTTGGAGAGCTGCGCCGTTACCTTGGCTTGCAGATCTCCAGGGACAGAGCCGCGCGCACCATCACCCTGACTCAGTCACACTTGGTGCGCCAGGTCCTTCAGAGGTTCGGCCTTCAGTTCTCCTCCGCACAGCCCACCCCTCTTCCTCTGGACCACAGACTCTCCGCTCCAGTTCCTGAGGAGTCGGTAGATCCCAGTGGTCCTTACGCTGAGCTAGTGGGTTGCCTCATGTACCTGATGACTTGCACTCGCCCAGATCTCGCATACCCTCTCAGCATCCTGGCTCGTTTCGTGGCCACAGGCAGGCACCGACCTCAGCACTGGTCTGCCGCTAAGAGGGTTTTGCGTTATCTTGCAAGTACATCGGGCATGGGGTTAGTGCTAGGCGGACGCAGGCCAGTGGTCCTTACTGGACACACAGACGCTTCTTGGGCAGACGACGCCGAGACGCTCAGGTCTTCCCAGGGCTACTGCTTTAGCCTTGGTTCAGGTGCTGTCTCGTGGAGAGCTACCCGCTCTTCGTCTGTTGCCCAGTCCAGCTGTGAGGCCGAGATCTACGCCGGTGCCATGGCGGCACAGGAGCTCCGCTGGCTGACCTTCTTGCTCACTGACTTAGGTGAGCGGCCTAGCTCTGCCCCGGTCCTGTACGCTGACAACAGGGCCATGATCCTCCTGTGTCAGGAGCCTCGACTCGAGGGCAGAGCGAAGCACATCCAGCTGCGGTACTTCCTCCTGCGTGAGCTACAGCAGCGTCGCCAGGCTCGCGTAGTACACTTAGCCTCCGGTGCCAACACAGCTGATATCTTTACGAAGGCGCTTGCGCCTAAAGATCATCAGCGGCACTGTGTGCAGCTTGGTCTGGTTCCTGTAGTCTCTCATTTACTCGGGCCTTGACTCTGTACTGTCCTATATATCTGTGTGTACACTCAGACTGGACTTGTGTCCTCTTACAGTGGTTGGACTAGTAGTGCCGCCCTGTACTAGTTCTTGCCTTGCCTGTACTCCTTCTGACTGGTCTTTTAGACCCTTGTCTCAGAGGCTGGACTAGTAGTGCCACCCTGAGCTGCTTGTCTAGAACATTCCCCTATGCAGTCCAGGGGGTGTGTCAAACATGTTTAGTTATCATGCTTGTATAGACTGTATAGGGTTATCTTCTAGAGAGTACAATATTTAGGTATATGTTTGTGTACTCTCTCTCCCTATTCATCAATTTCACTGTTTGTTAGTCATTCCATAGCCCCCGGGCGTTATACAAAATGTGCCATTAATTATACCCCCTCGAAATTTTACATGGGTTTTTACTAACACCCCTAGGTGTTTTATCCGGGGGAATACGGTATAACCTCTTTCCAGACAACCCCCTTCCCAGACTCGAGCGCTTTTGACGGAGTTGGTTCAATGCCGTTCCGCATGGTACCGGTATGACATAAAACTGGGCTTGCCATTGGGGAGAGGTGCAACTCTAAGAAGGGGTTTGTCTGGGAAGAGGTTGTCGGTTATTATTATAATTTATTATTTTCTACTAGCACTCTTTAATCTGACTCGGTAGGGATTCAGGAGCATTGAGCCTGTTAAACTTCAGGGCGAACCAAGGGCTGATAGTAGGGACTCAGTTTCTAGACTGGCATAGGCAGGCCTCATAGGGTATCACTTTCACAACCCAGTGAACAAAGCCGATGAAACGCTCCACTTTCATAGAGCCACTACCTCGCACAGGTGTGTTCATTGGAGCAGCGGTATGTTTCTCAACATCCCAACACCACGTCGGCATGTACAAAAGTGTATGACTGGCGGGCATATGAAGGAACATTCCCTGTGTTGGTCCTTCAATACCGGTAGTTCGCAGAGTACCTGTCAAGGTGCAGTACCTGTTGAGAGCGAAGACTCGAAAAAAAGAACCATTCACACGTGTGTGAACAGAAAGACCAACACTTGATGCTTTATGCATCAAGCATGGCACATCCAATAAAGCAAGCAATAGGAAAGGAAGGGAACCGTAACCAAGGCGAACACATATGTCAACCCAGACCATGGCTTGCAACGTGGCAACGGAAGGAGCACCGTGGCAATGAAGATGTCTTCTATGTGTTGGATGAAAATACCGCACCTGTGGTGAAGTTCCAGGAGAAGATGGAGTGCGCCTGGGGCTGGCTGCTTGAGACGGCAACAAAGCCGAAGAGGAAAAGAGAGTCGGACGCAGTGGGCTTGAGAGCGGAGCAGAGAGACACGCTTGCTGTGAGGGTGGGGGTGAGGGGCTGCACGGGGTCGGAGGAGAGGAAGACTCGGAGAGTGCCGCCGCTGGTGGGGTCGTAGTGGATCCAGGCGTGCTTGGTTTGGGCGTCGTTGAGGATGAGAGGGGCCGTGGCAGAGGCGAGGGACACAGGTGAGCCGCCCACATTGACGCCCACGTGGTTGTCGTTGGGGTCGCTGTGCTTCACACTCAGCACCGAGTCAAACTCCACTCCCACACTCCGCCGCCCCACCCCTCCCAGTCCCACACTCGCCCCCTTGCCGGGAGAAGCTGCTGCCACCACAAACGCAAGCCCCTCTCCACCCGCCCCCTGGCCCCCAGGAATCATGGCGAAGCTGAAGGCCGCTGTAAATGCGAGCTCAATCCCGCAGGGAGAGCGCTTGTCAGGGAAGTGGAAGAGGCGCAGGGCGGGAGAGGCAAATGCTGCACCCTGCTGGTTGGGCGTCCCTGCTGTGAGCAGAATGGAGCCGTTGGAAAGCACAGAGGCAGAGCCCCGGAGAGACAAGTAGGCAGAGCCTGACGCCAGAGAGGCCCCAATGGCTGCACGTTGAAAGAAGGCACACAGGAACGCGCTCCCTTTAGCTCAAAGCATCGTTGACAAGCTGTCTCCTTTCAAAGACGAGATTTTTGCGATCATAAGTTGGCCAACATGCAGTAAATGAGGCACATGTTGTCTGCAGGAAACACGCACCTCCAGCCACACATGCCTTGCTGTTGGTGCTGTTGAGCATATAGTTGGGATCGCACACACACTCCCCTGCGCCAATGAAGGGATTCACAGAGCAGTAGCCATGCCCCTCACACACAGGGCGAGCAGCACCGACCTCCACACCACAGAATGCAGCACAGGCAGTAGCAGGCCGTTGGGTGAAAGTGCGGCCACAAATGGCTAAAGAAGGAGCAAGGCAGTTTGCACGGGTGTTAAATTGAGCGGCCGAGCAGTTGCTCATTTTGACCTCGCCGTGCGTGAAGAAGTTGTTCTCCACATTGTACTGCTCCATGATTGAAGGTGCCGGGCAGGGTAGGCGGCCCAACAAATGGTTGTTGTATAGGGACCTGCAAGGATGACATGGAATGTGTGCTTTCAAGGACAATAACTACGAGGGTAGAGCGAAGCTACGGGAAGCCGGAATAGGATGCTGGCCACTTGCAGCTGCTGCGCTATGATACTCACAGCACAGTGATGCTGGTCATGCTTCGCAGGATGTGATCCACAGGTCCCGAGAGCTTGTTGTTCCCCAGCAGGCTGAGCACCCCACACATGCAGGCACAAGTGCTCGGAGCGGATACAAGAGACGGGAGGCACACACACATGACACAGACCAACACAACGCAATGGGGGCAGAGGACCAGTATGCAGGAGAGCATAAGCGATAGGCGAGCTGGATGAAAATGCGTCAACAATAATGCCTAGAAACGGGACCAGGTCTGTGGAAACCAGAAGCAGAAGAGGGTTCTCAACAACCCGTGCATAACGTAAACAGAGCACAAGCAAGGCCCCTGGAGAAGTCGTAACCGAGGGGAGAGACTGGATTAATTCACAGCGTTTGAAGCTTAGAAAGGTTGCTGAGGGTGCTTGGTATTGTCCCATGCAACTGATTGCCTTCGAGGTCCCTGCTCAAGTGGTGCGCAAAACAGAACTCTTGAACAGTGCACTAAGAGTTTCCAGCATACGAATTTTATTATGAGGTGATAAGCCTCTGCTGTATCTGAACACAATGTTTCGCAGCATACAATCTGATACTACAAAACGCACGTCGTTCCTGTAACCATACATCACAAGCAGTTTGGAGAGTTTGCCAAAGGCTGTTGGCATGGATCCTGATGTGGGGTTCGATGCGGTCGACCTGCCAACAGCAAGGCACAAGGAGATGAGGCTTTGTTCTGAAAAGAGGAGGCAGCGAGAAGGAGAACCTAGAGAAAAGCGGACAGGAAGCATGCGTGATTTCATGTCACAAATTGAGTTGGGGACAAAAGAACGTCCCTCCCTGTCAATGGCGAGAGGGAAACCGGTGTGAACAGCTTACAGGTACCACAGAGGTAGATCGGCCAAAGCAGCGGGGATGCTTCCTGTCAGCTGGTTGAATTCGAGCACTCTAAGGCGAGCATGGTGTGCAACATAAATGGGCATGGTGTGCAACATAAATGGGCATGGCGGGCAACATGATTGGGCGGGCATCTGCCCTAGACATATGCTCTAGCAGCCTCGCCACCAACACTCAAGGAGACACTACACTAGCACCATAGGCCAAGTGCGCAAGCTAGCAGCCAAGTGCAGCAGCATAAATAGCAGAAAACATGTAAAGACCGAAAAAGGACAGAAAACACGGATATGCTTGAAGGATGTGAGTAGGCAGATATTTCCACCACCGGATTCGCAATCAAACACCAGTTATTTGCTCTTAGTTATTCCTGTTATGCCCCTTGATGGATTCATATTCAGTGTTGTTCCTACACACAACGTCTTCGATTTGAGCATTAGTTTGCACCTGTACTTACAAGCCTGTAAGATTCTGGAGTGATGCCAGTGATTCTGGAATTGAGCCGCTCAAAAGGTTGCGCGGTAGAACACTAGGGAAAGGAAACACGCAGAAAGTGATCATGCACCACACGCATAAGAAGGAAAAAAACATGAGGTAGGAAAACTGGCACTTAAATGGGAGTGTGATGCAGTGACATAGTATGGCTATGGAGGGAAAAGGGGTGTGATGTGTTTTAAAATTGCAGGTTTTATATGAGATGGGCAGCACAATAAGTGAAAGCTGAGAGAAGAGTGCAACATGGTGCTCAAGTCACCTGAGTCAAGTGGAATAGATATTGATGTGATGAATGGGAAGGCAGGAAGAGATACACTGAGGTTGAGGAAGGTGTGTTGCAATTTGTGAAGTAGATGGAACATAATGAAGGAGGAATTCTCCATTGGGAGTTGGGTAAAGTGCTCATTGTAGGAATCAGCTAGGCGATTAGAGGGGTTGGGAATCAAGGATGGAGTAGTGTGGCAACCAGAACAGACGGAGATTCAAGGTGAGTAGGAACATGAGCTTGGAGGAATTTCTGATGTGGCAAGGGACATCAGAAGTTCGACAAGGGACATCAGAGGTCCATCCTCCCAAAGCTTGGGTTCCCCCAAAACATGGAGAACCAGTATCAGATAGTACAGCCAAAACAAAACCTGAAGATTGCCCAGTAGTTTAAAACAAACCCCACCAACTTGGTTGAATGATGCAAAAAAAAAAAAAAAAAAAACCATGTGCTTGCATGCAAGGAGACTCACAGATTTATCAGGGACCGTATGGCTCCAAGAGAACTGGGGATGGGACCTGTTAGCTGGTTGGTTGAAATTTTACTGGGGAAGGAAATGACAACCACATGCGTATGAGGAGCAGCAGAGGAGGAAATGCAATGGTTGAGTATGTGAACATGCATAGCATAGATGTGGTGCAACTTATGAGAACACGCATACTAACCCAGCTGTTAAGTCCCAAAATAACGAGGGAATATGACACACTTGCTGTTGGTGCACCACCTGGGCTATTGGTTATCATTTCATAAATTCAGACTCTCATTCTGAGTTCTTCGGCCACCACTCCTCTTGTGGCACCATGGAGAATTCATATTTTTTTTTCCTAAAATTTATCGGAAAAACCATCGTATAATATGGTCGGGACTATACGATCGCCGTTTTCTTGCACCTTGGGTGGGTATGACCACGATTACTACTTTTTTCTCGCGTACTCATTTTTAGGCATATTGCCGCCTTTCCTCGCCAAGTGTCGGAGGGCCCAGGCGATTGCGTAAACCTGCCGTCAGGCGAGCGACAAACGCTGGTGCGTCAGCGTTTGCGACAGGTGTGTTGGAGCCGCGTTTGCATCAGGCGATTGTCGAGTTCATCGCCAGCACCGACAGCTCCTTTCGCATCGCCGCGGACCCCACGATAAGCGAGCCACCCCACCAGGTCCCCCCCACCCTGCCCTAAGCATGTGGTCATTGTGTTACCCCCCTATCCCCGCCCTTGTAACATACTAGATCCGCCCCACCACCACCTCCTCCCCCACCCCTCAGCATCGCGCTAAACACCCCCAAACCCCACGGCCCCCCTCTCGTTTCCTTTTGGCAGTTCCGCCGCCTCTTGGCTGTGTGCAACCCCCAATGCGGTGACGCAATCCCCATACCCGACTGGACCACCGTTTCCAGGGACCTCCGCTTCTACTCTGAGGCGGCACAGGACGTGCTTAAGTCAGAGTTTGGGGTAGGTTCAGGGAGCGGGCGTGTCTCTTTCACAACGGACATATGGACCGGGGGTAACACGCGGGGGTACATGACAGTGACGGCACACTTCATTAGCAGGGACTTTCGGCTACGCCAGTGTACACTGGAGTTCATGGAGCTGGAAGAGCGCCACACAGGGCGGCTGATTGCAGACGTGTTCACGCGAGTTGTCAGGGAGTGGGAGCTCGTGGGGTTCTGCATGGGGGTGACGACGGATAACGCCAGCAGCAACACAGCCGCCATGCGTCGCCTCGCCGGTCTTGATCGTCATGCGCTGGCCACGCCTCTCCTCGCAGATGGCATGCATTTCCGGTGAGTGCGTGGCACGCATGCACCCCTTGTCTTGTCCACATAGTGTGCTGCTGTTCAGCCGATCACAGCCTCCCCTCTCAACGGCTTGGATAGCCCTTAAGGTTTTCCCTCCCCCATCTCCCCCCCGGTGTGCGCCTTCCTACATGCAGCTGCCTGGCGCACATCCTGAACCTTGCAGTAGACATGGGCATGAGCCGAGCCTGGCTCGGCTCGGCTCGTTCGGGGTCGAGCCGAGCCGGCTCGCCGGTCGAGCCGGCTCGGTTCGCCTCGAGCCGGGTCCTCAGGATCCCTGGCTTTGCTCGTGAAAATGAGGTCGAGCCGGCTCGGCTCGGCTCGTCAGGGGGGCTTGTGCAGGCTCTCAATTGGGGCCACGGGGTTTGGGGTCCGGATCGTTGAGCTGATCGTATGCTTCTACATCTTACAAAACTCTCAGGAGGTGCTGCAGGTTTAAATAGGGCTGGCTGAGGGCGATAGACTAGGGCCACAGGGTGAGGTTAGGGTTGGCAAACGAAATGGGCGCGGGAGGTTTGTTGATCTGAGATTTGACAATTGCGAAACCCCCCTTTCCCGAGCCGCGAGCCGGCTGGCTCGAAATCGAGCCAGCTCGAGCCAGCTCGACTCCGACTCGCTTGATTTCACGTGAGCGAGCCGAGCCGAGCCGCCGGCTCGAGTCGAACCGGGTATCAAAAAAGAAGGCTCTGTAAAGGCGAGCCGAGCCGAGCCGAGCCAGGTGTGGCTCGGCTTGTGCCCATGTCTACCTTGCGGTCAAGCGTGCGCTGAAGCTGCCAGCGGTGAGGGTGCCGCTGAAGCTCCTACGCGACATTGCCACATTTGTGGGCTGGAGTGAGAGGCGCACGCGCGAATTTGAAGCGCAGCAGCGGTCCGATCCTGTCCTCAAATGGACGGTCCTCCGCCTGGTGCAGGACAGCGAGGTCCGCTGGGGCAGAATGCACGACATGGTCGCGCGTGCATTAAGGCTCCGCCGATCCCTCACTACGCACTTCGCAGTGGAGCAGGTACCCTCTTTACAAAAGCCCACTTCACCGCTTCCATTGCGTGTGCGGATGATGCTGCCTGCGCACCCCTTGTGTGACATTTCCTCCCATGCTGCCACACTCATTGTCTCCTCACACCCCGCCCCATGGATCCCTGCTCACTTCCCAGGGAGAGACGGCCGAAGAGCGCGCGAAGTACGTCGCGCTGCGCTTGACCGGCGCGCACTGGGACACGCTGAATGTCTTGGCGGCGGAGTACCTGGCGCCGTTCAGTTCCATCACGGTGGTGTCCGAGGGCTCTTCCTACCCCACATCATCTGCTGTTGTGCCACAGTTCAACGAACTGATGGACACTTTGCAGGCATGGCCATCACCCCGCCTAGGGTTGAGCAAACTACCCGCCCGGGTCGGGTACCCGGTACCCGGACCCGCTTTTAGGGCGGGTCGGGTATCGGAAATCCTGAAAATTACCCGGCGGGTCGGGTCCGGGTTACCCGGGCCGGGTATCAATACCCGCTACCCGAAATGCTACCCGACGTGTCGGGTAACGGGTACCCGACCCGGTCGGGTATAAAATTACCCGAGGTCGGGTATTCCACCTAGACATGGGCGTAAGTCGCGATGTGTCTTAGGTTTTGCGGTAAAAACGGTTTTGGAGGTGAGGGGGGACGAGTGGAGCATTTGTGAGGAGAAGTTGGAGTTTGTAGATGGGGAGGAGTTAAGTGCGGTGAAAGGGAGGGAGTTGGGTGGGAGTTGGAGAAGAGGTTGGAGTTTGTAGATGGGTAGGAGTTCAGTGCGGTGAAAGGGAGGGAGTTTTGTTGGAAATGTTGGAGTTTGTAGACATGGAGGAGTTCAGTGCGGTGAAAGGGAGGGAGTTTGTTTGGAAATTGGAGTTTGTAGACGGGGAGGAGTTCAGTGCGGTGAAAGGGAGGGAGTTGGGTGGGAGTTGGAGAAGAGGTTGGAGTTTGTAGATGGGTAGGAGTTCAGTGCGGTGAAAGGGAGGGAGTTTTGTTGGAAATGTTGGAGTTTGTAGACATGGAGGAGTTCAGTGCGGTGAAAGGGAGGGAGTTTGTTTGGAAATTGGAGTTTGTAGACGGGGAGGAGTTCAGTGCGGTGAAAGGGAGGGAGTTGGGTGGGAGTTGGAGAAGAGGTTGGAGTTTGTAGATGGGTAGGAGTTCAGTGCGGTGAAAGGGAGGGAGTTTTGTTGGAAATGTTGGAGTTCGTAGACAGGGAGGAGTTCAGTGCGGTGAAAGGGTGGGATTTTGGTTGGAAATTGGAGTTTGTAGAGGGGGAGGAGTTCAGTGCGGTGAAAGGGAGGGAGTTGGGTGGTCGAAATTCGACCCCCAGGAAACGCGACTCTCATTTGAGAGTCGCGTTTTCAGGAACCCTACCTAGCCTAGCCCAACTTTAGAATATCCACTAGTAGGTGGCGGGTAGTATTACCCGCTTTTCAGGGTCACCGGGTCGGGTATACCCGGACCCGCCAGGCGGGTATTGTATTACCCGCCCCTTAAGGCCGGGTCCGGGTAAGGGTCCTGGGCATATTACCCGACCCGGACCCGACCCGAAATTACCCGACCCGAGGTCGGGTATTGCAAAACCGGGTCGGGTCGGGTAATTACCCGGTTTTGCTCAAGCCTAACCCCGCCTCATCGGCCGTCAGCTCGTAGGCGTCGCCTAACCCGTGCTGGAACGGTACTATTGCAGCAGCAGCGATGAGCTTGTGGTGGCGACGTTTTTGAACCCCGGCATGAGGCTGGTGTTTTTCGAGGTGGATGGAGGGACGGATGCCCGCTCTGGGGGAGAGGGGGAGGGGGCAAGCGGGGTGGGGGGGAAAAGTGGACTGGGCGGGTCTTCGCGTGCGCTAGTAGTGAGCGCCGCTGGCGCGGGGGGAGGGGAGGGGGGGCAGGAGGAGATGGGTTCAGAGGAGGGCGCAGAGGAAGAGGTGGAGGAGGAGGAAGAGGAGGAGGAGGATGAGGAGGCAGCGCAGGGGGCGCTGGATGAGGAGGGGAGGAGGCGGAGGAGGAGCAGCAGGGCATGCCTGTGGCGAGCTTCAAGCCGTCAGAGGTGCTGACCCTTGTACGGGCTCGCTTTGCTGAGTACAGTAAGCGGCTTAAGCAGGCGGCACAGCAACAGGGCGGGGGCAGAGGGGGGGTGGGCTTGGCGGGGGGGGGGTTTGAGGGTGGAGATGCTAGTGGTGTACCAGTGCGGGGTGGCTTGAGCCAGTCTCTCTATGCCAAGCTGGTAGCGCGCTCCGCACGACGGGGCGCCAAGGTGCAGGATGAAGTGGATCGTTACAGTGAGGGGGATTTGCATGAGGGTTTCCCCCTGGCGTACTGGCGTGAGAGGTCAGATATGCCGGTGTTGCAGGCTATGGCCAGGGGTTACCTGGCCATACTAGCAACATCGGCAGCTAGCGAGTGCGTGTTCAGTCAGAGCCGAAATGTGATCACCCGCCATAGGCAGAGGTTGACGGGGGAGAGCGTGCGAGCCACTATGACGCTCAAGTCATGGACTCACACGCATCCTGGTATCTCCCAGTTAAAGCCAGGGTGGATCAAAGAGACGGAGAAGCTCGGGGTGGAGGAGTTGTAGGCTGCGTGCTAAAACATGAGGTCGGGTGGTTGCTAGCTTGTGGCGTCTTCCGCCGATCGGAGCTTGCTTGTGCCTGGTAGCGCTGAGCACATGTCATTGGCAAAGGGGCACTTTTTTAACTGCCATGCTACTTGATTAAATTATTGTGACTTAACCCTGGATTTGGTGATTGAGCTCGTGACACTGCATACCAGAGGTAGACTTAGTCGTGGCTATATACCAGGATACATGTTTCTGCCCACCTAGACTTGTAGTGGCGCCCCAAACAGAGCAGCAGTTGTTCACAATCACAATCTGGCAGATCCCCGGAATAGAAACCAAAACCAGTGGCCCTTCTTGAGAGAACACAAGCCCCCCTAACCAGCCGAGCCAAGCCGGCTCGCCAGCGTGCCGGCCCCGGCTCGACCCCATTTTCACGAGCCGAGCCAGGGATCCTGAGGACCCGGCTCGAGGCGAGTCGAGCCAGGCTCGGCTCATGCCCATGTCTGGTTTCGGGGACGGCCTTCCCATGTTTTTTCACCGGCCCGACCCGTCTGGGCCTTTTGCTCATGCATAGTCTTAAGTCGCTTTTAAGGGCAAAATACCACGCCCAAGCGCCCTTCTTGTTTTGATTACTGTTCACACGAAACCACTTTTGGAAATTATTTGCAACAGTAAATCAACATGTATCGCCAGCAATGACAAGTACATGAGACTTGTGCATGGTCAAAGTCTCTCACAGGGTCGTGAGATTCTGCATGCGACTGAGGGAATCCGGTATGCTGCCACTCAGCAGGTTGTAACTCAAATCGCTGCAGTTGAGAAAGTGAGAAAGGAGAGTCACAGAAACATTCAAGGAAAAAACAAGCACTGGCTGTAGGGCTGTACGAAATCAAAGCACTGGCATTCATGGGCTGAAGCTGCTATGCTGCACTCGTCAGATGAACTGGCATTCTCGCTATGTAATGTGCGCCTAAGTGGGCAAATTCGTTAAGGTCCCCCAGCATTTTGCGTAAATTCGTAAGAGTAAATTCGCGTTCGCGAATTTACCTCAAATTCGCGAAACGCTGGGGGAAAATTTTCCGGGCAGCCCGGACAAAAAAATGCGAATTTCCCCACTCGATTCGCGACGACTTGGCGAAGCCATCCGTGGCCTCGCCAATTCGCGATTCTAACTTTTGAACCTCCAAACATGCTCCCAACCCCTCCCACTATCCCAACCGCATCAAACCCCACCGCATCTAGATATCCCAACCCATCCACCACCCAACACAACTTACGTAACCATATCACGCATCTCACACGCTACTCTACCAGACGTAGAGTAAATCTAGCTAATATCTCCGCGTACTAGCTAGTAGATCTAGTAGCTTACCGCATAGACATTAGCTTACCTCACGAGTATGATGTTGCTCTATGTTGCTGCAGGGCTGTTGTTGCGAAGGATCCCCCCCAAACTCTAGAACATGCTATGGCCATAAAATTTGAGAAGCAATATTTATTTTGTGCTAAACTTTGTTGCTTAAAAAGAGTTGCCCTGAAACCCCCCACGCCCCCCCTGCCTGGGAACTTTTTTTTGGGCCTGCCCGGGCTTTTTTTTCCTGCCCGGACGGAACGAATTTCCCAACGAATTTAAAACAGGGCCCTGGCGTTTGGGCGAATTTACGCGAAACGCGAATTTCCCACTTAGATGTGCACCACATCCAGCTGATTGTCTATCATACTTTCACATGAGCAAGGAGTTCAGAAAATGGGAAGGCAGGATTCGCCACCGTACAGCCATGCCATAGAAGTCATATGCCCGAAGGAAGAAGGAATGCTTCCTGAGAGATAGTTTGCGTCAATATGCCTGCTTGCAGTGGGCAAAGGGGGAGGGAGGAGGGAAAAGGCACCGAATTGCAAAAAGGTGGGAAATAAAGGTAGTGATGATAGCTTTGAATCCTCTTAAAGATGCACACATCGGTCAGCCGTTCAAAAATTTACATGCAAAATGAAGAGAGAGCAGAAAGGAGGCTTGGAAAGAGAAGGATATGTAGGAAAGGAACGAAATGGGAAGGAAGGCAAGGACAACATGTGCGACTCACAAGTAAGTGAGGAGTGTAAGACTGCTGAATCCATTGGGTATTGAGCCGTTGAAGAAATTACTTGCGAGATCACTGGTGAGCGCAGTGGCAGAGGGCAGACAACAACAAAACACCGCTGCCAATTGAAGACCTGTTGGCTGCCGCGACACGAGTGGGAGGACTAGTGCCTGTGTCACACTATCCAATATTGATACGTTGGGTTAATTACAGGTTGACCAGTCCTGCATGGAGTCGGCAAACCAGAAAGCGATGTGGAATGCCACCTCAGGTTTCCCAACTCCTGGCAGGTCCTTCCAACTCTCCAGCTCTATAATTCCCACCTTTGTAGAGGCAGTTCCAACCCCCTCCAAACTCGCAACCATCCTCTCGGGGCCGGTTCAGGGCATCTCCAAAATCTCCCATCCATCGTAACGAGGCCCCAACAATAAGGACACCCCATCTTGACCATGGGCACCTCCAGCACCCGTTGGGCATCCCAAGTCTTATGGCATGCCCCCATTCAGCTTCCTATCCACCCCGACTTTGTGCCTTCTCTCCCTCCCCTGACTCTTATCCCCCTCCTCTGACTTGATGTTTGGAACTGTGTTCTTTCCCTCCTGCTCTCCCCCACCTCTTGGTTTAGGGCATCTGTGTCCTCCTGCTTTCCGCGACCGACATATGTGACCTCGTCATGAAAGTTCGGATTTTGATCGCGCCAAGCCAACCCAAGCAATCCCTTTCTCTGCTCCAAAAGAGGCCTTCCTTGGAAGATTTTACAAGCTATCTGCCAAACATTTGGCAGAACTAGTCATATGCATCTCGTTTTTCAGGCTAAGGTAAGGGACTAACAGGTCTTGGAGCCGTGGCAAGTTGCAGAGTGGCTCTAGTGGTCCTGATAGCTGATTGAAGTTAAGGTATCTGCCCAGATGGAGGAAGCAAAATGAGTCAGTGATGTAATTCTGTCAAGAATAATATAAGAATAACCATCATAATGCAGGAATGTCAGTGCGGCAAGGTGTATGGCATGTTATGTGACCTGGTGAGCAAGTGTACCTCGTGTCAGCTGTACGTACATACCTTGGTCATCGTTCGTATCTACACAAAGTGCACACACCTGTTTTCTGTTGCTATACCCACATGCTCTCTAAGCGGGCCAAGCGGCTGAAGCCTGTAGGGAGAGTCCCTGTGACGGTATTGCCCCTGAGGTCACTGGATCAGCATCAAACACGCGTGCAGACATAAACGACCAACGTCAAGTAGAGCCTATGGGGAAGATAGTTCAGAGTGGAGTACTAGACATGTTCCAGCCTATGGGGACGGCCCCTGGCCCGGCCCAGCCAGGGCCGAGTTGTAATCGGCCCATCAGCTCCGTCGTCCAGGTAAACAATTCCCTACCTTAAGGTTGAACCATTGTAACATGTTGAGGGAGGCAATAAGCCCTTGAATACAAGTCAGAGGCGCAGGAAAAAATGTTGTTCATGACGGGTTCATCCAAGTGGTTCACTCTTGGTTTCTGGCAGGTGGATTAGCCAGGGGGTGCGACATGCGGGATGGGAGCAATACTTACAGAAATACAAGTGAGGAGATCTCAAAGAGTGAATCAGGGATGATGCCCGTAAGTTGACACGACATAAGCGAGCTGAGAGAAGAGGCAAATGAGAAAGACGTGGGAGAAAACATGGAGGGAGGGATGGGGCTAAGGGAGAAGACAAGGGAAGACATCGGGAGAAAAGCCGCTGGGGAAGAGAGGCTTATATGGACACGGGGGAGCGAAGCTCAGACGTTTTGCTCTACACTGGCCTCCGTCCTACACATGGGCACATGGTCGACTTGACGCAAACTCCACTTATTCGTAGTCTAAACGCATGCGACCTCCGTTCCCTTTGTGGACACCCGTGTGGGGTCATAGGCTGCTTTCGCACTCATGCTCGTGGCCCCCTAGCTAGCCACTAGCAGAGGGCCGGGCCAGCTGCCGACCCGGCCGGAAAGTCGGCCGTCGGCCTGCGGACTCCCACGAAGATGGGCCGACCCCGCCCTGGGGGCTGGGTGGGTGGGTCATCAGGGGCTGCGCTACTGGCTCATTTGTCAGATGTAGCACTAGCTTCCCCCTCCTCATGCCTTTTAGCCATGCTACCGTCGGCATTTTCACAATTCTGACGTTAGGTAGGGTATCGGAAAGCCAACCGTGTGGATCAGAGGGCGTAACGCTAAATTTGTGCACATCGGCGGAGGAAAAGATCCCATGGGGGGTCGGGTGGGGGAGAGGGTTGGGGGCTTGCTCATCATTTGAGGGGGGAGGGGAGAGGGCTTGCTCATTATGTCCACGCCTATCTCCCTTTCCCCATAAACTTCGTCCCTTCTGCCACACCACTACGTGACCCAAACTGCTTCAATTTTGCGCAAAGCCCTCATCATCTCGATGGGCAACGTGGACACCTTCACAGTCTTTGAGGCCCCAGATAGCAGCAAGGTGCGGCATCGCAAGTCATCCACCTAACAGTGACTCACATGAATTTGAGGTGCTGGAATTGGCTGATCATGTCGGGAATAGGTGCCTCAATCTTCTTGTTGGACAACAGTCTGTGATCAAAACGAGGGGTTTGTGGATTAAATCCAGGACAGCTGCTCAGCGAGCATAATACAGTCAGTCAAGGACACACATAAACCACCACAGCAAGGTCATATCACTCGCTGACATCCGGAAACGGGGGCTGAAGAACAGGGTTGCGTTACAGGTATGCCGTAGCCACGTGGCAGCCAGAGGAATCGCTCACATGGCGATGACATATCCATCGTCATCACACTTGATGCCATCCATGGCCCTGCAGTCCGCAAAGCGCCACGACCATGTGTCAGTGCCTTCGAAGTAGTCCCAGTAGTAGGCCAGCTCCAAGAGACTCATGGCTGGGTGGGCAACAGATCAAGTCGGGCAAGGGCGACGGCGCGGAAGGGGGTGTGGGCGAAGGGACGGTTAGGACGAGGACGGGTTCGCAAAGGCAAGCGCCAAGGCGTAGCTTGAGGTAGACATGGGCATGAGCCGAGCTTGGCTCGGCTCGGCTCGTTTGATTAGGGTCTTGTGTGGGCTCATTCGAGCCGGATCCTCAAGATCCCCGGCTCGGCTCGTCAGGGGGGCTTGTGTGGGCTCTCATTGGGGCCACAGGGTTTGGAATCTCTAATCCGGGCTGGGGGATGGTCCAGATTGTTTAGCTGATCGTCTGCTTCTATGTCTGGGGCCCGTGTACACGTTTAGGTAATCGCGCGCCCTAATCTAGTAGCCCTACCGAGCGCCTTCCAACCCTCGGCAGAGCGGGCCTAAACGGATGCGCGCCCAAGCCTAAACCCTGGCGCGCGCCAAGGCCTCGGTGGGCAGGCGCGCCCAGGGCTGTCGTGGCGCGCGCCCTAATTAATACAGCTCTTACATCTTGTAAAACAATGAGGTGCTGCAGGTTTAAATAGGGCTGGTTGAGGGCGATGGACTAGGGCGACAGAAATGGGCGCGGGGGGGTTTGTCTATCTGAAATTCGACAGTCGCGAAAACCCCCCTTTCCCGAGCCGCGAGCCGGCTGGCTCGATTCGAGCCGGCTCGCCTGATTTCCCGTGCAAGAACCGAGCCGAGCAGAGCCGCCGGCTCGGCGCGAGTCGAGCCAGGTGTGGCTCGGCGTGGTGCCCATGTGTAGCTCGAGATATCGTGTATTTTGAGTCGACTCAACTCACGATATCTTCAAGATATGGTGATGCAATGGTGACATCCCAGAAGTTGACGCACGTGCGTGCTTCAGTACGTTGGCATTTCGTGTCCCCTGGTTAACTTTTAGCGTTGGGCCTAAACCTAGAACCGGTCAATATGGAACACAGCAACCTTCGCCTACCATCTGTTTCGTGTATCCGCACTGCCACTGCGCTTGGGGAAAAGAGGCAGGCAAGGCTTCCAAGCAGCAGGAGGCAGACGAATCCCCTGGACGAGCGAGGGAGAGGCCAGACATAGCAACCCTGTGCCAGAGTAGGATGCCCCTGACGGTAGGGGGGAGGGTGGCCGGGAGGGGGGAAAATGGAGGGTTGACGGAGGGGATGGGAGAAAGAGACACGTGAGGGTCGTGACGAGAGGGTCGTGACATGCGATTTCATGTGTGAGGGGACACAGCACCGGCGAGCTGTGCATTTTTCGCTGCTGTATGCCCGTCTCGTTTACGGGGCGACTTTGCAATGACGGGCCATATCCAGGAGCGGTTCACGGCGGGCCGCCGCGAGCGTGTACTACGCCTTGTTAGCAGGGATTCCGTTGCGACAGCGAGCTTTTTTGGGGCAGTGGCGTTGGGCGAGGCTAGTAGCTTACATGGTCGCGAATCGGCATAGATATCGAGACGGGGTTACAGCGGGCACTGCGGGGATACGTGACTCTTGCCGCTCAAGGGATGATGGTGTGCGATTCGACGTAGTTCGCTACTGGTATTACTGAAGCCGTAACAGGAAAAGAGTAGAGCTAGCGGCAACAACCAGGAAAAATCCGTGAGAATTGTCTACGACTGGGGTCTAGTCCATAGTGGACCTGAGTTGAACAGCTCACCCCCTCAAAATCCGGTCTCAAGAAAATTGACAATCCTGCTGGAAATCCAAGTACGACCGTTGGACGCACTCTGCGGTCCAGTTCGGTGCCTCCAGGTCCTCAGGGCTGAAATTTGAAACATATCCATAAAACTGATTCTGAATGCATGTGTCAGGAAAACACTTTTCCTTACTCATGCTCCCCGCGCCCTAGCGCATATAGCCATTGCCATCGACCCAGCAAGGTTACCACTTACTGCACTCATTGCATCAATCGTCGACCCGGCCCACGTTACCACCGCCGCCAATTCACTCGTTGGAACGAGCCTGTACCTGTTGCCGATAAATGCTTTGCACAACTTGTTATGAACCTTTATTTTCGCTACTCCATCTCCAATTCTAAGCCGATTGACTACACCCCGAACAGGGATCCTAACACTAGGTATGTGAGCTATTAGTCCTTAGGCAACCCTGTTAAATTATATATGTTAGTATATAATTGTAGGCTTGGTAGTCGTTACTGAATACTACTGTAGAGGGTACAACACCCCTCCTTGTATCCCTCTCTCTTCTTTTCTAGTCCCCTTTTCTCTCCTCAACTTTCCTAGCCTAAAATCTCTCGCCATTTCCATGGCTCCACCTAGCTCCTAGCTAAACCTCATGCCATTTTATGGCTTCCTAGCTAAGCTAGTCTTGTGACATGGTATCAGAGCAGTTCGTTCCTTGTGGGTCTGCTCCTCACGCTTCCGCTGCGTGCTTGTTTCTCTCTCTCTCTCCCTCGCTGCCATGGCGGCTGCGTCAAGCTGCTATGGCCGCGTCGTCGTCGGCCGCGTCGTGCTGCCGCGGCCGTCGCGACGCGCTGCCGTGGCGTCGCACCGTCGCGGCCTTCCTTCTGCCTGCCGCCGTGACACCTTTTCCAAGATGCCGCGGCGGCCTTTGTGTGCTGTCGTCCCAGCGTCGACGAGCAGCCGCGGCTCCGACGCCACGCTGTGGTGGCGTCGTCGTGGTGCCGTGGCTGTGTCGTCGGCCTGTTGCCGTCGCGCACCACCTGCGTCGCTGCTGGATTTGCAGCCTGCCCGCCCGCCAGTAAGCGCCGCGCCAGCAATGGCACCGCGCTGAAGATCCGGAGCCCCGCCCCTTTCCCCTTTCCTGTCCCCTCCTCTTTGCCACAGCCGCCGCCTGACTCCCGCCGGTCGTCCCCCTGTCGCGGAGTTTGGACACGCCGCCGAAAGGGCGGGGGCCGCTGCCGTTACCGCCGTCGTAAGCCGAAGCCGTCGCCGTCGCCGCAGGCCTGTTGCCGCCGCAAGCCCGTCGTCGCCGCCGCACGCCCGTCGTCGCCGCCGCTGTCGGGACGGCCGCCGTCGCCATCTCCAGGGCCTTGGGGTTGGCCCTGTTGGAGTAGTCGTGGCTGATGGGAATGGGGGTGCTAGGTTAGGGGGTGTGGGGGTGTGTGGGTCCTTGCTACCAAGCCTAGGGGGTGTGTTAAATTATATATGTTAGTATATAATTGTAGGCTTGGTAGTCGTTACTGAATATTATTGTAGAGGGTACAACACCCCTCCTTGTATCCCTCTCCCTTCTTTTCTAGTCCCCTTTTCTCTCCTCTACTTTCCTAGCCTAAAACCTCTCGCCATTTCCATGGCTCCTCCTAGATCCATCGCAAAAAGTGCAGCTCCCGCGAAACGTTTACGCTATTCGGACCTGGCCACAAAATTGGAAATCATTTGCCAAGTGTTCGCCCAAAGTTTTTTTTTCCGTTTCGTTTGGCGTAAATGGTTCTCTAAGGTTCCGCGGATGAGTTGATGAGATGTTTTGTGAATGTTACACCTCTGTTATAATTGTGTTCTGATGACTTATATTTGTATAGATAATTAACTTTTGTTCACTACAACTTGTACAAATTTTGTTACACTAAACAGTAGTAGTTGAAACATTGTAGTATAGGTATTGTTTCATATTAGATATTCTTGTCATAGTAAATTTAATACTCTTTCTACTTTTGCAACATATTGTAATATATTTGTAAAAAGAGCAAAAGGAGAGTGTAGTATTGAGATTTCAAAAGCAACATTTCAATATGTTTCTCATGAGATTCGAAACTGAATCTTCCGAATGAGTGAATTTTCACTATATAGACCGTGTGTTTCATGCTATCATCATCTTAATATTTTTATATTCATCCTCGTAAGGTTATCAACAAAGACTTCCGTTTTCTTATTCACAGACTTACAATCCTAAAAGATCCTACTGGATTATTATGATCATGACTTGGTATGACACCCACTTTGGGATTGTAAAGTCCACCTAACCATTCTATTAGTGGCCAACAACTACAAAATATACACTACTCAATGCCAGCTGACGGAGAAGGGGGAGACACAACTCCGCCTCAATCACCAATTCCGCCTTCAACGGGCACGGATGATGACCTTTCCACCGTCGCCCAAATTATCATCCCAAAGTCACAACACTAGGGAGTGAATCCATTCGATGAGCATCGACAAATCGAGTTATGCCTCCAACACAGCTCACGCACCTTCTACACACAATAGGTAGTCAAAATCAGCGGAATTGCTTCAATGTTTGATGCGGCGATCAACCACCACGCCGTGATCGAGCTCATCTAGAGGTCCTTTACTCCGTGCAAGAAAAGTCCCAAACGATCAGCAAACCTCGCATATCAATTGTCTTCGATGACAAGGACTTCTATACATGGAGCTTATGCAAATTGCGCAAATATAGATATTCTAAGACGGAACTTACACCTTCCCACTCAACGGCTCGCCTTAGGAGAAGTCCCGCTACTACAACGACTCCCTCCTTGCATACTCGCTACTGGTAAAAAACTTGTCCCCCCGCTGAGTAGCTCAGCATTCGCACGTTCAAAGACACCCACGCTCCCGCTCAATTTGCCTGTGAACATCTGCAAAAATACACCAAGGAAGGGAACTTGTAACACTGCGTCGCTTACTCAACCAACTTATGACAACGCGAATGATGCCCAGCGAGAAGGTCGGACCATACATCAACCGTTGCAGGAATGCTCGCGACGAATTCAAAAAGAGTCATGGAAACTTCGCATCGAAGAGGAGCCAAAAGAAACAATTAAGCCCTCTCTCCCTGTCATCCTCATCGACATCCAGCCCATGGATGTCGACACTCAGCAAATTGTTGTTGCGGTCATCGACGAGTCTCTCGCCCTCCCCACGATCGGTCCTCTGATAGAAACATAGCAATAGATTTGCACAGACGTCCGTCGTCAAATCGCAGCATTTGCCGTCAGCAAACGAAGGCGACGCAACCCCCACCTCACCAACCGAACCCGAACCTGCAACAACCATATCACTCGACGCAATGTTAGAATTCCACTGTTGATGACATGGGCATCGCGCCTCCCAAGATCTCTGGCACGAACGACTTGGTCACCCTGCTCGCGCTATCCTGGACAACTCTCTTTGTAGCAATGTCTTTGAACCACCCGCGTCACTACTCCCTAATGGCACCGACATGACGTCGACACCTCATCCTACTGCGTGCACTATCCGTCCCGACTTTCCCCTCTTCTGTCAAGACCAAGTTGCGCGCCAAGCCCCTGGTACCATTTTCGATGGCCTGCAAATTATTGTTGCAGACGACGATGAGGACGGGTCATTTACAGGACACCGCGCTTTAGCCACAGCAGAAGACGCAACTGACGTGGTAGAAGACGAGGAAGTCGTCGCACGTGATAAACATTATCTAACTATCCCTCTTACTAGCACACGCAATCCAATTTTCTAAAACCTCCTCCTCCCCGGATCCTGATGACATTGCACGCACTATTTACAGGGATGCACAAGAGGAGAAAAATCTCCTATCAAGCAGTTTCTTTCCCCTTCACCCTCACGAGACACTATCCGACGTGAGCCCGACGATGCCTAGGAAGTTACCAGCCCTGCCAAAGAGCGTGCAGTTCATCGCACCTGCTCTCAAAAGGGCAAAACTGGTTTTCCCATTCTCGGTATTCTTGTCAAAGTTTGCCCAACCCCATCTTCCCTGAAGCCCAAGACCGTTTCCCAGGCACGCGCCAGCCCACACTGGGAGAAATGGAGGAAAGCCATGGACAAGGAGGTAGAGGCACTTCGCAACCGCGGCATATGAGTCCTCGACAATCGCACCGCCGTTAAAGAGTGCATGATCCTCTCAGGCTTGATGGAAGCATCAAGTGCTTCAAATCTCGCAGAGTTGTCCGCGGCTTCGATCAAACTCGCGAAATCAACTTCAAACTTCTCGTAGAATAGCCCTCCAACACATGTACCGTAGGGTCGCTAGTGAGCGAGTACTTGCCGAATTTGATGTTAATTACTCCTCAATCTATCAAGCACCATGTCAAGCACGTGATCTTTGCATGCATGTCATAAACACCTTGAATCGCGGTCGCATGATTGGGAGGTTGTCTCTTGAGGTTGATGTCAAGCTGCTCCAATCGACTACTTCGGGTGGCTGAGATTCGTAGTGAAGATGAATCAATCAGCTCCTATTACGAAGTAGTGTCTCGTTGTCCCTGACGAGACGTAGTAACTGCGTGGTAGTTGCATGTTAAACTACCACGCACAGAATTAAATCGACATGACACAGATCGCGTACTAAAGGAACTCGCACTCGCTCGCGCTCAATATTGATCTGATGGTCCAAACTCCAAGTGATCAGATAATATTCTTGAGGCTCAATCATCTGTGTCAAATGTCGGATAAGATCAGTTTCTGTAGCAATTTGTAGTCGTCGATGTTTGTTTTTGAATGATCAGACGCGCGCAAACAATCTGCTGCTATAGAGGTGTCGTTTCCATTCGCGCTGTAACTCGAACTCCATCAGCTCAGGTTCGTTTCATCTCGGACGATCTGAAGCATCGAAATTGAATTGGACGGCTGACGTCGATCGTTGTTCCACATATTCTGGCGCAACTGCAAGATTCGTGACGAAGTTAGAAATTCTTGGAAATGTCTCAGGGTATGTTCTACCAGCTTCCATCGATCGCTCCGGA